GGGGGGGCTTGGTTGAAACGTGGGCGCAGGGTGCAGCGGGTGGAGACGGCCAGCAGAGGGGACATTATTGCAATGCAAAATGATGGATGTCATCTGTCTCAGCGCGGCAGTGACGTAAGGCCGCTTTCCTCAAGCATACTGCTGGCCGAGACGGCCGTGCTTGCCTCAGCGCGCGCCAGAGTCAGCCTGCGCAGAGGCGTGGACGTGAGACGGCTGCGGCCCAGCAGGGCGGGCGTGGCGTCATCGCGCAGCGGACAGCGCAGCACGCCCGGCAGAGCAGCCACCGAGCCACCACTTATCGCCGTTGGCCCAGCGCGCGCGCACGAGGGTGAGGTTATGACGAACATGGCGACGCAGGTGAGGGAGGGGCCCGCGAGCGCCCCCGGGGCAAGGCAAGGGCTCGCCAGCCAGCAGGCGTCACTAGGCGTGTGGAGTAGGGACGCTGCTCGGCGCTACTGCAGCGTCGTCACCACCAGAGCTCGCTGCCACCCGCGCAACCACGGCTCGAGCAGCGCGCGCGCGCGGCGGCGTGATTGGCCGCGGCCGCGCGACGCACACCGCCAGGCTCGCGGGCGCCAGGCACGTCTCCCAGCAGGAAATGAGGCATCCCGGGCAGCTCGCCGCCGTCCTGCGTTTCGCGCGGGCCCCATTGGCCGTCCCGCATTCCTCGCTCGGACGCGCCCCCTGCCGCCGCTGAGATTGAGATTAAAGCTGCTGCGCGGGCCACCGGCTCGTGACTGCTGCGGCGGCCGTGCCGCCAGGCGATCAAACGCGACCAAACCCACGCCATGCGCAGCGGGAGCATCAGGGGCTCCAGGCTCCAACGGCGCCCGCTGGCCGTCTGCGTGGGCCGCGCAGAGCTGGGGGAGGGCGGCGCAGCATGAGGAATGCCGCGCAAAACGAGAGCCCCGTCCTTTGCGTCGCCGCTGGGCCGGAGATTTAACTGGCGCGCCCGTGCGCTGCTAGAGGCGTAGCCGCACGCACTGTTTGCGGCCGCTGGTGTCTCTTTTCAGGAGGGCACAGATAGCGCTAGCCCGAAGCGTGCCCCCGGCCTCACGCCCTATCCGCCGTTCGAGCAGCGCGGCCCACCGCGCACGCCGCCATTGGGCGCGTGAGCGCGCGGGGCAGCGCCCGGCCAGGGCGCGCGGTGGTGCTAATTGCTGCTCTAGCGCGGCCTGAGTCGCGGGCTTTGTCTCCCCCACACTTCAGCGGGCAGGGATGTCGGGCGCGCAGCGCTTGGCCTGCCCGGCGCGCGTTGCAGGGACCCCGCAGGCGCCGACTGCGGTGGCTTCAAGCCATTTTTCTTGTCCGCTCGCTTGTGCGCGGTCCCTACGATGTCATCAGCGACGACGTAACAACCGCTCCCACGGCCATCGCACCGCTGCGCTGCCAAACTTATTATCTGCCAAACGGCCCGCCTCCCAGAGCCCCTCTACTCCTCCGATCTGCACTCCTCCTGCCGCACGCGACCCCCCCAAATCAAACCCAGCTCCCAAGCTGTTAAGTACTCGATCATCACTCGCCGCAACAGTCGCCTCCCTTCGCATCATTGCTTCCTTTGTTGCGACTTCTCCTCGCGCGCTGTCCGCCACGCATTCCCCACACTCAGGGCACACCTGAAACAGCCACCCTCTCGACCGTCGTCATACCGCGAGCCCTGAGCTTACCCGTCGAAGCGGTTGGGTCCGTCCAGCGTGGCCCCAAGATCGGCACTCCCAAGAGCATATCATTGCCCCCAACGGCAGTCCGCCCAAGCCGGGGTTCCTGTCCGCCGTCGACACCTTCAAAAGCTCCGCTGATCCCGCGTATCGTCGTGCGAGGTGATCGTCTTCCTCCACGTTTCGCAAACCTTACTGGACCTGTGTTTCACCCTGCTACACGGAACCGTCTTGCTCTCTTCCACTCCTTCTTGTCTCTCGACGCCGCGATACATATCTCGCACCCTTACTTCCCCGACCATGGCCATGGCAGTCGACAACCGACAACAGCATCAGGTGAACGGCCTGGGCTTTGACACGATGCGCTTCCCCGGCCCTCAATTCACCAACCCGTGGGTGTCCGCCGCGACGGCGCCGCCGCAACTGTACCCTACCACTCTTGGCTCCACGCCCGCCATGGCGACCACCACCTCGGCGCCCGTCCGCCCGACCACTGTCTCCCTGCCCTACTCCAGCGTCCCCGTCAGCGCGCCTTCTCTCGGAGCAGGTACTTGTCTCTCAGATGGAATGTACGAACAGCAAAACTCACTTGGCATGTCGCAAGATCTCATGAACACCTCGAGGCCGTATGGGGCCACCTACGCTGCTTCCGCCTCTCCCACTGCTCCCTCGTACGCGCCCACCTCGGCGCCGCAGTACTCGATGGACTACAACAGGGCAGCCGCCCCCGCATACAACTACCAGCAAGACATGGCCCGCCGGCCCTCGCAGCCGTTAGTACCCTCCTCCGCCACCGCCGACTACCGCCAGAGCTCCCTGGCTGACCATTTGAGCAGGATGAACGCAGAGCAGCAGCGCAGCAGCTTCAACGACGCACTCGACGCCAGCCGGGGCATGGTCGCCATGAGCCAGGACATCACCCCCCGGAATATCTACGGCAACCAGAACCCGCGCTCCTCGACCGATTCCTACGGCTTCCCCGCCACCCACTCTGCACACTCTTCAATCTCCTCCGCCAGCACCTACCCGTCTTACTACAACGGCTCCGTCAGCTCCGTTGCCGACTCCTCCGTGACCGACTACAGCTCCGCTTCCGAGTCTGTTGGCGACATGTCGTCGAGGACGCTCCCCAGGCCCTCCGCCCTGGTCGGCACCAACCTGCCCCCGGCACCGCAGTCGATGATGGGCCAGTTCAGCTCCAAGGTCTCGTCGAGTTCGCAGAAGAAGCACAAGTGCAAAGTTTGCGATAAGCGATTCACGCGCCCAAGCTCCCTGCAGACCCACATGTACAGTCACACGGGCGAAAAGCGTGAGTCATGTCCATACCCAACTGATTCCAATTTACTTGCGACTAACATGAGGAGTAGCATTCGCTTGCGAGGTCGAGGGCTGTGGTCGCCATTTCTCCGTCGTTTCGAACCTGAGGAGACACAGGAAGGTCCACAAGGGCGAGCGCGACCAGCCGTCTCCCGAGGAGAACTGATTGCCTCTTACGGAACCCACTTTTGCGCGCCTTTCGGATCACGGTTTTTTCGCGACACGGCGTTCAGTCGAGCACCCAGCTTTGTGCCAATCTGTCTCGGACCTGTCTGATACCTTTTTTCTTCTCAAAAGTGTTATCACTGCGGTTGTGTCTTTTCCTCTCGAGATATCCCGCTTCCGCGTTTTCTCTTGCGAACTTTTTTTTCCATTCCTCTGTTTCTACATCCAGGAGAGACACCGTTCATCTTCTAGACGGTCGCTACTTATTATACCCCATGGTGTATGGTTTCTTTTCTTTTTTGCCTTGCCTCTGCGGCAATTCTCACGTGTATGAGGAGCCGGGAGCATGGGAAGCAGGCCGGCGTTAACTGGTGGGATTGTAGAAAGGCGTTCACATGACTGGTTTACTGCAGAGTCCATTTCTGGGACCTTCACATACGCACGGGGTTTCCTTTTACCATTGTATTAATACTGCCGTCGACTCGTTGAGGTCCGTTTTCATTTGTCTCTTTCTGCCGGCGATGAACTTGCACGCCTTGTCTCTACACGGCGGTCGCTCGCTTTCATGTCAGCCTGGGCGCTGCTGGAGCCGTACATTAGGATGGATCTCTCTCAGGGTTATGGTGCGCGTCCCTTGTACGATATAGGAAGCACCGGGTTTGGCATACGGAGCCGGATGGGCTGGTTGGTGTTTGTATGGACGGACTACTGGGAGGATACTATACAGCTAGTTACAGCTACTGGGGCGTTAGCATGGAGCTGCGGCGCGGCGATAGAGAGCTCGCCGCCTGCAGGCTCACGACGCTCGCTCAACGAATAATACTGAAGGATACTCTTGCAAAGCTCCAACTCCTGCACTGCACGTTCCACTGCTCTCCTTCCTTCTCTCGTGGTCGACTACCACCTACCGCGTCGGCCGGGGCTGCGTGCATAGTCTGCCCTGGCCAGTCGTTTCGGGTTTAATCTGACAATTTCCCTACCTGTCCGGCGGGCTACATCAGGCGCCCAGCACGAATGCACCCCTTCCCCCCTCGCCTCGTTGGGACTCGTCAGCGCAGCTCGTGTGCCAGCCGCCAGCCGCCAGCGCCGGGGCGCCCTCTGGTCTCTCTCCACGCCTTCCGGCGACGGAGCCCACATGCGCGGAGCGGGCGCGGCGGCGGCGGCGGCGGCGGCGGCGCCGCTGAAGCGCAAAGACATCAACGGCTGGCGCCACGATGGCGCCCCAGCGTCAATCGACTAATCAATCATTGCAATCACTTGCATTTGCGACCAAGCGCGGCGGACAAGCACGTCAACTCCACTTTCTTCTGACCGGTTTCTGGGTGCCTGACGGGCTTGCACTTGCTATTTCGAGCAACACCTCCTAAGTCGTCCCCTAACGTCGGACCCTCCTTGCTCGTCGACACGCTCAGCCTCGTCTTGCCCTCTGGCTTCGTACCGACGCGTTTCAACTGCAGAGGGCCTTGCAACTGGCGGACTGTCCGGCGGCGACGAGTCGCAACTCGCACCTGCCCGCAGCCGCAACGGCCGGCCCACCTCCCACCTGCGCCTGCTGCGCGCTGGCCGCTGCGCGAGTACGTGCGCCTGCCCAGTGCCCAGTGCCCACCAATGCAACCGGCCAGTTGGAAATAATCTTGGCCACCCTGTGTCTTCCGCTCCGTGCCTATCAGGTACCGTCACCGCACACACACTAGCACAGCCCCCCCGGCCGCCCGCCGTTCCGCTGGCCAGCCCACACGCAATTCCCACCCGCCTCTGCCCACCCGCGACATTACCCACCAGCACCCACCGACATCAAACAGAAACTCGACCTCGAGTATACGAAGCTGACCCTACTGCTGTTTTATTGCAACACGAGGTTTCACACCCCAACGCCCTCCCGCAGGCTCGGAATCGCGTATGCGCCGGGCGGCGGAAGTTTCACCCACATATTGCCCACCACTCGCGGGCCGAGCTGGACCAAACACGAGCGGACCCAGCAGCCAAACCCACGATTCGCGTGCAGCCTCCAGACGAGCAACAAGAGGGCACCATCCGTCATAATCGCTCAAGCGCTCCATCTTCACGAAAGTAAGCAGGGAAATTGCACGAGAGCCTGGACGGCCGTCGTCATCCCTAACGGCCCTTTTATTTTTCGTTGCTGCGAATATTCGCCTCCTCTCGGAAGGCGTCGACGCATGTGCACCTAGCCGCCGTGCTCCATCTCGTTGCCGTTGCGATGGGAGACGGACAAGACGTTCGAGGGTGCGTCTCGTTTTCCCCTTCTCTACGGGCAGTCCACGCGCTATGGCGTCGGCGGCGCAGCTTGGCGCAGCTCGGCTGGCGTAAGCGCATCTGCGGGCGGAGCTAGGGCATCCCTCCCACCCTCTTCACTCACTGTCCCTCTCACCACACCCCCGACCACGTTCACCAAACACATGCTCAATGGCCAAGCGGGAGGCTGGCTGGGAGTGCACTAGCAGATTGGAAGATGAAAATTCTACCGACCGACATGACACGAAACGCACGACACGAGCCGGATCTTCTTACCACCACTGCTGCCCTGCCTGCCTGCTGCATCCAGCCACCCCATTCATCATCACACCCCCGCGCCGTCAGCCAACCGGCAAGACGCCTGCCAGACGATGCCGGAAGACCCTGAATATCAGACGTTCGCCGCTAACGTGCATGCCAGCCGCCAGACAGCACGGGTAACGTGCTTGGGTCGCCCCAGTTGCTTAGCCTTCCAAGTTTCTTTCTTGTGTTGCTTTTCCCGTACGACCCTAACCAACTACTCTGCCTGCGGCTGCTCCCCGCCGCTTCCGTCATCTAATAGTCATCTCCTCGGTAGTCGATGGGGCTTCCTTCCTCCTCCCAATCCCGCCGCTGCTGACGTCGTCTGCAAAAAAACATGGTTTGGAGTCTTTCTCCCGTGACGCGCTTCCCTGAGGAGGAGGAGGGGGGCGACTGCATACTGCATACTAGTTAGCTAGCTAATCCGGGCTAACCAACTAACAGTTGCAAGGATGTTGGAAGCAAAGCAAATCCAAGAAGCACCTGCTGCCGCTGCCTGCTGCTGCTGCAGGTGCGGACGGCTGTTGCTGCGGCACGTGCGCTCATTTTCTTTTGTGAGAGGGGGGTGGAAATTTTTGATTCGATGCTGCAGGTTGCTTTTTGACCATGCCAACCGCGCTAGTGCAATTACTGCTGCTGCTGCTGCTTGCTACTGCTTCTGTTACGCGGCTCAAGCAAAGTCAATGTGTTCACAAACGCGGGCACATGCACACCCGCATAGACACACACACGCACCCTCTCTCTCTCTCTCTCTTTCTACTGGAATTATTCAAGTTCTTGCAGAAGATATCGAAGGGTTACGAACATAGTGCGTGACTAAGCTCTTCTATTACCAACTACACACGTTAAAAAACGCTACACTTGTACTTTTTTTGACCGGCCGCGCCGCAGAGATTAGCTGCGTTAGCGGTAGTGCAACCATAGACGCAAACAAAATAAAAAGTAAAAAAGGGCATGCACGATAAAGGAGAGAGAGGGAGAGAGAGAGAGCAGCAGAAAAGAGGGAGAGACGAGTGCGGCGGTGCATCATGCATGCATGCAAAGGAAGCGGAAGATGCGGAATGCCAGTCTGCCGCCATGCGAAAGATTGCATGGGACTTGCTACTTGCTACTTTGCTACTTTGCCGCATGACGGGGCCAGAAGATCCGGTGTGCAGCACGTTGCACACCGCCGCCGCATCTTGCTGCTGCAGGCTACGTTTTGGTTGTTCATGCAGGCATGGATGGGGAGGGAACGGCTGCTTGGTTGGGGAGGTGAGGGTGTGTGGCTCCGGGTTAGAGCTTTCCTTCCTTACCGGCTGCGGTCAAGGGCAGGGGGTGGTGGTGCGGCGCGCCGGCGGGGACGGAGACGGGGGGTGGGTGGACCGGGGGGACGGGGAACGACAACAACAACAACAGATGGGGACGGGAGGAGGTCAGCAGGTTGAGTTGCTGGAATACCGTAGGTACACTGCTGGCCGGATAGGACAGACGAGCCAATGGACGGGGGCAAGAGGGCGGGCATTTAGGCAGAATGAGGACGGTGAAGAAGAAGCGACGGCTGAACAACTCGAGGGGTGGGCTCCGCTGCAAAGCAAAGCTATTCCCGTCGTCGGGTCAGATGGGAGGCCGGCGGCAGGGCGGTTGGGTTTCGATGGTGGCGGACGCTCTGGTTGGCCGGGACGGGAGAAAATGATGGCTGCTGGCTCTTGGCAGGCGTGGGTCGGGGAGGGGGGAGGAGGGGGGTTGGGTTGCTGCATGGCTACTGCAGTGCAAAAGGCAGGGTTGGTGTAACGCTCATGAGATTGATCACTTTTTTGCCCCTTCCACTGCTGCTAACTCTTCTGCTCACGATTCCTTTTCTTTTACTGTTGTTTCCGCACCGCCGGCGCCGCTAGTCGTCGCGGTCCCGCTTGTGTGCCGGGGCTGCTTCTTGTTCTTCGGCGTGTCTGTCGGCCCAAAAGTGCTGCTACCTAACGCCCTCTCGAGCAAGCCATCGCGATTTCTTGATTGATTATTATTTTTGTCCTCGCGTCTCCGAACACCGGCGCGCGGAGCGGGCGCTCGAGGCTGGCTGATGGATACCAGCGCCTTTTTTTTTTTTTTTGCGCTCGTAGGCCCCGGGCCGGCAGTGGGGTTACATCGGGCTTGCGCTCGGAGGCTTGGGGAGGAGAGAGAGCAGTTTCCGCCGCACTGCGTTTTGGAGCGGGCGGGCTGGCTGGCGGCGGGCTGGCGGGCTTCGGTGGCGCTAGACCTCCACCCGCCTAGCGTTTGGCGTTCTGGCCGGCGCGCGCTGCCACTGTCATGGGCAGCGGCGGCTGGCGTATTTTCTTCCCACTTGCCGGTCAGCCCGCCGCCGCCGACGACGACGACTACGACGACTACGACGACGACGACGACGACGACGACCGCGGCGGCGGCGGCGGCGGCGGCGGCGGCGGCGGCGGCGCTGACTTGTGGTTGTTTGTCGGTTGGCCAGCGGAGCGTCCGGGATTGGTGCGCTCCGTGCGGTACGTACTCAATAATGCCTACTTGCTGGAGGAAGGTCGAGCGGTCGAAGCTAAGGCCGCCGCTAGCGCGCTGTCCTCAACGCCCGCCCCTCTCGCAGGCAGCAAAATGCTAGCCTCCACATCCATCACGAAGTGAGCCTTTTCCTTGGGCCCCTAGCGAGGCCGGCCGGGGAGCGTCGGCTCGGGCAAGCGGCGGCAGGCTTCGGGACTGTTGTCGGTGCATCTCTGGGGCTGCCGCGCCGCGCGCCGCCCTGTCAATGGCCCCGCGCCCCAATCATCCTTAATGCCCCGCTAGCCTGCCGTGATGTTGGTTGGCTGTGTCTTCAGGCTAGACACGCGCATTTTACAAATCCTCTGTTAGTTGGGCTATTAGCAGAGCGGCCGTTGCGGTGGCGATGCTTACGCGCAAGCAGCCCAGCACCTGAAACACACGAACTCTGAGGCATTTTGAGACCTTCTTGTTTCAATTTTTTTCTTCTGTGACGGCTGCACACGGTGGCGGGAGGCGCGCTACAGGATTCGATGCGAGACGGAGAGTGGTCGAATCAGCACGTGCTCCACCACCACCACCACTCGCCCATTGCTCGGACCGAGGAGCGGACGGCTCAGAGGGAGAGGGGAGAGGGGAAGAGGGGAGACGGCAGATACACATGTTCCCAGTGCAGCTCGGAATCTGTGCTGCCGACCTGTCTGCCGGCCCGCCCGTATGCCGCTATGCTCTGCCAACCGTCACCCCATCGTGATGAACGAGGCACCAACACGGCAGTTCCACGGCGCACCGCCGCTATGGTCGAACGGCTGCGGTTAACACTGGAGAATAGCCTTTTTTTCCGCGACGCTCCTCCGGCTCTCCCCCTTGGGGCTCCCGCAAAACCCGTCGCTTTGGTCAGGTGTGCGGACCAGGGACCAGCTTTGGGCAGCTGGCTGTCGAGAGGAAGAGATCAGCCGTTCGCGGCTCATCAGATGCTCCCCGTGCGTCTCCCAACTGCTCTCTCTAGAACCCTGCCTCGTCAGAATCATGAGATGGTGGTGTGCCTGCCAGCCCTGTGGTGCCATGCTGTGCCGTGGAGCTTGCTGGGGGCTGGGGGCTGGGGCTTGCGCTTGGGGCATCCGACAAGCCGTGCAAATATGTCCATTCACCTTTGCCTTATTCGTTCACGATCGAGAAGAAAGAACCACAATAGCCTGGGGGGGGTGGGCAGGGATGCTGACTGGGGTTGGAAAGCACCTCTTTTCACGTGGACAAGCTCCCCTTTAGCGGGAGAAGGGAGACGCTTTGGCCGTCGTTGGACACGGGCGGGCCGTGCAGAAATCAGGACTCCCCTGCGGCTGGGCGGCTTTGTTCGTTTTGGATCTTGTGGCCTGGCGCTTGTCCTTCCCGAGCTGCCGCCATTCCACTTCGCGCCCATTCCTTTGACAGCAAAGATTGGCACCTGGTCTGTCGGCTGCATGCGGCCCTCGCTCGGGGAGATGAGCCCCAGACAGCCGCCGCGCCGGTGCACCGTCGCGCATCGGGGGCAGCGTGTCGGAACCGGAGGCGAGGCTAGGGATATGAGGCTCCCCAGATGGATCGGCGCTTCTGCTCATGCTCGTGCTGCTTAGCGGCCCGGATGGCCAAAGTGCCCGCCCCATTTGCCTCCAGGGCAGTGTAGACATGGATTAGGGGTGTTGAAAACGCGCAGCTCTGGTCCCAGCAGAGCCACGAGGTGATCGCCAGGTACGACCGATATGAAAGGCGGGTCGCTTGCTCGATTGGTGCAGACAAGGGTGTTGGAAAGGGAAGTGGCCCCAGCAGCGACAAGAAAACTTGGCTCTTGCGAGGCTGTGTGGGCTCTTGCACCCCCCATCCCGGTCCATCCGCTGCGCGGAAGAGGAGACAGAGGTGGGTTGGTGTGGGCATGTGCGTGCGTGCGGCTTCACTCGGAGAAGATGGGCTGGATTGGAAAGGATCAGCACCACCGCAAGCGCTCGTGCTGACTCCGGGCTCCTGCTGCTGGCTGTGCTGCTTGTCACCAACCCTCAGGGTCCCAGCCACCCCGGCGAAATGAGACGAGTCTATCTCGCGTTGTGGGCAGACCAGGTACACGGGATCATGTGGCGACCCACTCGTCGCTGTGGTTCTACATCATTGTGGCTCCCCTGATGCGTGAAGCATCACGGCCTCGCGCACGTTGCGCCCACGGCAGCTTCTTTGCATCCGCAGCGCCGGCATCGTGGCCCCTTTCATGCTGTCATTTCAAGTCTATTGTTTGGGGTCGGGATGCTCGGCTCGTTCGGGTCGTTTGGCTCACCCCGTGGACTCGATTCTTTCACATGTCATGTCGCTTCCACTCCCCCAGGACGCCAGGCAATGCGATGTATGATATCATTATGGCCCGAGCCCTCATGGATCCTCTTCGCTTCGCAGTCACCATCTCTTGATGTTCTGCCTTTCCGGGGTATCGTACTCGCAGATGAATGATTGTTACAGTTCCCTCCCAAACGCCACTTTTCCCATGCCCGAAACGCCAATTCGTGCTGTACAGTCGTCTCGAGCGCCTAGTCCCTCCCATACGTGATCTTTCCTCTCTTGGTCGGCTTCCCGTCGGTGTCCTCGTCGTCCTTGGCTGACGGCCGTTTCTTGTTGGTCGCCTTGCTCGTTGTGCTGCCAGGTGTCGGATGGTTACTGGCACCAGGGAAAGACGATGTTGGAGTGGGAGCGTGCGAGGGTGTTGTTTGCGCAGATGTCGGACCGGGCGAGTCCTGAGAAGCAGCTGTGTTAGCCATCGCGGTCCTTTTGTTGGCATCAGCACGATCCGTGCAAAAGACAAGCTCTAGCTGGCTGCGTGTGCCGGTCTCCGGTCATGGCGAATCTATCTGATAGAGGATGCGTACATTCATGAGAAAGCTCTGGGAGCTTCGGCTGAATATGCGGTCTTGGTCGTTGATGGCAGCCTTCCGGCGCGCAGCATTTCCGGTACCAGCGCCGCCAGACGTAGAGGTGGTCGAGCCTTTTATGTAATTATCGAAGCCCTTCACTATGTTCCCCGCGCTCGTCTCCTCGAGGTAGCCCGTCTCGGCGCGGTATATGTTCTCCTCAATGGTGTTCTGAGCCGGCTGTCAGTCGACCCGCGCACCCACGCTGCCCAGACGTGACAACTGACCAGGGTAGTATCAAGCACGCGTTTTTTTGCCAAGGCGTCGCGCAGGTCGCGTCGCAGCTTCTCGTAGTAAGGCATGCCGCGCGTGGCCTCAGAGTTCGCATTGGGCTGCGCGTCGGCAGGCGGCGCATTTTCCGTCATGTTGCGCGGCGAAGAGTCGGATCAAACAGTAGGATGCAGACGGCGAGGATGGAGCAGGGCGGGCGGTTGGCGACAGCGCCGCAAACTGGAAGCTTGCGATAGCTCGAGGTTGTGCTGGAAGGTACGTCGCGAAGCTGCAGTCGCGGCCAAGGCGGTGAGGCAGGTGAGGTGCTAGCGCGCGCTTGCCCCGCGGATCAGCCAGCGCGGCGGAAGCAGCCGTGAACGTCCAACTTTACCACAAGAAAGCTCCAACGCTCGACACGCGCCCATTGTCCCTAGCACCACCACGCCACGAGCTCGACACCACTCCGCACTCCGCGCTGCCCGAGTTCCTGCCCACCATGCCCATGGACGCGAAGGAGGTCGAGTCCCACGGCCGCGCCATCACAAAGGCCCAGGCCGCAGGCGAGCCCGGTTCGTCGCTCATCAAGCTTCTCGATGATCTGCATACCGGCGTCAAGGCCACCGAGGACCTGCTGCGCTCGACAAAGATTGGCATCATTGTCAACAAACTCAAGACCAACAAGGACCCCAATGTCGCGAAGAAGGCTAGCGAGCTCGTCTCCAAGTGGCGCGCCGACGTGAAAAAGGCCGGTGCCGACCGTTCCTCAACCCCGAAGACGCAGAATGGGACCCAGTCACCCGCCTCCCAGGCGGCTGCTTCGCCTGTGCCGGTTGCGAAGCCCAAGCCCAAGCACAACGTCCCGCTCGACAAGCGCAACGTTGACACCGACGGCGTGGAATGGAGACTTACCGGCAGCGCTATCCGCGACAACTGCCTGAAGATGATGTACAACGCCTTGGCTTTGAACGTTGAGGATGGTATGTCCCACTACCATATTCGTATGGCTGTGGGATAAATTCACTGACCCTTGCATGTAGCTGCCAAGTCCGTTCTGAGCGTAGCCCGAGACGTCGAACTCGCCGCGTACAACAAATACCAACCAGAAACCTCAGCCGCCTACAAGGAACGTATGCGCTCGCTATTCCAGAACATCAAGAACAAGTCCAATCCTGGACTGCGCAAGCGCGTGCTTGCCGGTGAGATTCCTCCGGCCAAATTCGTCGTCATGTCAAGCGAGGAACTCATGTCTGCGGAGCGTCGCGCCGAGGCGGAACGACTGGAGAGGGAGAACATGAACAAGGCTATGGTTGCTCAGGCGGAGAGGAGTATCAGTAGCAGCTTGACGTGCGGCAAGTGCGGTCAGAAGAAGGTCAGCTACAGCCAGGCCCAAACCCGCTCTGCCGATGAACCTATGACGACGTTCTGCGAGTGCACGGTTTGCGGCAACCGCTGGAAGTTCTCCTGAAACCGAGTACGACCTGGGTGGATGGCGCCCCATCATTTCTCTTTTTCTTGCCGCGGCCATCTGCGGGCCAACTTACATGTACGATACTCCCGGAGATACCACATGCCGGGATCCCTTCTTGACGCATAGGGCAGCGAATGGTGGATGCGGAGTTCAGTAGAAGGCGGAGTTCTGGAGGACAAGTGTTCAAGGGGGCGATTCACAACAATCAGTCCTGCGAGCAAAAGATTTGTACTTTGGTGGTGTCATTGTTGGGGTGTTTGAACTGGCACACATGCCCTTTCCAATTCGATCCCATAGCTTACTTTAGACAACAAGTAAGCAATTTCGACGGATGTGACATTGCAGCTTTGTCTGGCTAGAAATTTCAGCCCTGAATCGAGAGAGCAAGCGGCAGCCCCACGGGGTGTCTTCTAGTGGTAAGCCTTGGCTATACCGCACATACATGGAGTGCATGTACCATCAATGGGTTGAAATAGCGACGTAGAGAGAGTTGCCTAAATTCAACGACGGTCGAAGTGTACACTCCCGGCCGCCGCTTATCACCACTTTCTGTTACAAACGGTTCATGAATATCATGATTCCAGACTCGTCTGGAAAGGTACCCATAGCTCATCAAGTTTTCAACCACTACTTCCACACCTTCGATTTTGATCCAGCTATCCGTCAATACGGTTGAAACCAGCCATGCTGCACTTTCCCAAATCCATTCATCCCCCCTTACTTGCACACAGAACCTCATCCTCCACACGCGCTTCTCCATTCATCCCAATCCTCGGGAACTTCCACTCCGACGGCAAATAGGATCCAGACTTGTCCTGCATCATATCAGCCACCGCATCGTGCGCCCACCACCCACACTTAGCTCTCAGGCCGTCATACCCAGCACCTGTCTCCTGGTATATCTTTCCACTAGCCATGTCTTCACTAGAACAGCTCTCGCCCTCGCGCTTGACCGTCAAAAATTGTTGGTAATCGATGTCAATATTTTAGAGAGGAAGTGGACCACGGTATTACCGCACTCTTCAGCGAAGTCTTTGAGTAAAACCCGGAGCTCAGCACATGGCAGTAGCATCTAAGAGGGAAGGGAAGAAGGAACTCATGAAATCAGGCAGGAGTCCCTAGTTTACTCTACTCACTTTCCAGTACTATATACTAATTCACTATTATTTATGTTAGTGAAGAACGATGAGCCGCACGTAGTATCTACCTAGAATAGAGAGCCCGCTTTGGGCTTAGTCCCACCTCGCGTGTATTAAGGCTTCAGCATATATCAACAGGTCCCACCTGCTTACCCCATACTCCCTCCGGCTACAATTTGTCCAACCCTCACACTCTGTTCTGGTTGGAGGAAAATGGTCTACCTTCAATTCCCGGTTTCTAGTATCGAGGCGGTCTCATGGAACGTCAGGCTTTGATATTATCGAAGATGTTTAGCATTCAACGTAAGTGATTAACTGCATGACGTAGAGCGTTCCTCGCTTATAGAACTGATTCCCTCGTGAGCCACGCACGGAAGTTCTTCTCTTAAGCCGTACATGTACAAAGTCACCATCTCCCGCATTTCGCACCGAAAATGATTCTGGGTATATTACCCGTGCTACCCGCTCACGTCACCCATTTTGCTCCAGGACAGCCGCCACTTGTCCCTCATAACCGTCACCCAGACCGGCTCAGTCTGTCAGCAGGTAGACCCTACTCCCAACGATAACTGCACCCGCGTGACCCCGTGCAAGACTCGAGAATATAAGCGGATGAACATCGTAGCCTGTTTAGATTTAGAAAATGGTGATGGTGCCCTATGATCTACGAATCATCACAAGATGCCAGACTTTTAAGTGGGGACGAGGGCTGGCTACTTCCGGTAGACTCCGCCCTTATTAATACCGGCTTTGGGAACAGGGACATTCTCTACAACTGGTGAGAGGCATTGTTTTGACATCATGTTGAGAGAGAAGAATTCGGAATGGTTACAAGAAACAGCAACGACGAATGACAATGGCGTTTTGATGTTTCTATGGGGAAAGACCTGCATGATCAGTACCTACTCCGAACCCTTAAAGAGCGGTAAAGAATCTCGAAAGACTGTTCCAACACCCTATCAATGAAAGTGGATGCCATGGAGAATATTGCCCGGCGCCTGCCATTGACTCAATGTAGATATTCTTGAATATGCACGTAATACTTTTCGATACCTTTCGATACCTATCCCGTAGACTTGAAGTTCTAGTTTGGTCAATTAATGACCTTATTAGCGTGTGGAATTGAAATCTCACAAGACAAAAGCAAATGGGCGAGGTTCAAAAACAGAAGCTCCTCGCCCCATCTGCAAGAGACAACATCTCTGGAAAAAGCGCAGCGAATGATTCCATTTACAAGGCCCACGTCGCCCGTCGCCTGAGCAAGCGAACCTAGTCTCCAGATGCCCCATCTCACTTGCCACTCCCAGATCCTCAGCTCACCCGGTTCTCCTATGCACACACACACCTCCGCTACCAACACACATGCAAATGCCATAGAACGCTGAAGCAAATTGAGCTTTTCCTTTCAATCACTCCCTGAAAGTGCCGCAAACTCGTTGTGGAACTCCACTTCAATGAGAGATCCGCAAAACATTGCCACGAAGATCCCGTCTAGGACACAAAACGAGAAGCAGTAACATGAAAACGGATGCGAACGAAGGGTATAAAAATGCGACTAACCCGAATAGGCAATTCCGCAAAAGTTGCGCATGGTAATCCGAGAGACAAGACAAAGATGAAACAATCCGAAAGGTAAGCGCCGCATTCTAGATGGCAAGGTTTGAGGACCCATGGAAGTGCGTTCGGGAGACCACTTAGCGCTAAGTCAAGAGTAGAAATGCTCGCGCCCATGTAATTTCAGACGGAGTAACGACTCCGGGAAAGCATGAGCAATGTGAAGGATCGGAGGAACTGAAAAGGTATCAGGACAGAACCGAAAGAAATCAGATACCGGAAACGAACAACATGAGCCCGCCACTGACAAACACAGGTGAGGCCTGATGAACGCCCCATCCTCGAAGCCTGGAATATGCATTGAAAGAGACAGGAAATGCACCAAAGCCTGTGAGTCTTGGAGCATGAAAAGAATATGGGAATAAAGGAGAGAAGGGATGAAGAAATGAGTAGTCTTCGTTTGTTTGGCCGTTACTTCTTTTTGCCTGCTCTGATACTGGATATACCGTGAAGAACAGAGTGACCGGACGCTTGCGATGCGAAATCAGACAGGAAGATTAGAAAAATAGTACCCACACCCGCTGCCAGCGCCCAAACGAGATGTTCCTCCCCACACATTCCCCTTTCATAACCAGATTGTAAAGTACATGAAACTGAAGTAAAAGCTTTTATACAAGGTATTGGGGAATAGTACGCACGATAAGCGTGATAAAAAACGCAGAACAGGAAAAGTCTGAAAGGAGATGGAAATGCAGCAACAAACCAATGCGCTATGCGAAAACATTGAAAAAAAAAAAAAGAAAGGACCACTCCACCCTCGATCACCTGAGGTTACTTCTTGTAGAGTTTTCTAGGCTCTTTACTAACCTCTGACGCCTCTGGGCCACGGTCCGCTTGGGCGCTCATGCTCTTGGCGGTTACCGTCTTCGCGCTCGAGCTTCTTTGGAGCGCTTTTTCAACACCTACGGCCAGGCTGCTCACACCATCCGCGCCGTTGCTTGCCCCTGCCTCTTGGCCTGTACCTTCTTTTTGGGCACCTCCGACTGAACCTTCGCTTGGGTGTGCAAGGTAGCCAACATCTGTATCGTCTGATTTGCGTCTTCGAAGCCCATCTTCTTGCTCCTCGACCAGTTTTTCCATGTTTTCCCTAGTCAAGGCATGACTCGCTTCACCTCTCCTTACCACATCTCGCTCTGGCGCCTTCGGTGTGATTTGAGGTCTGGTATGCGGGTCATCCGTTGATGACAGTAACTTTTCATCGCGCAAGTCAGCGGCCTTTTCTTCCTGCTGGGCCCTTCGCACGGCGCGTTCGCTCTCACTTTCGTCCGTCTTCCGCATCGCGCTTGTCTCCCGGTAAGATATGCGATCCAGTGCCGGTGTTAGCGAGTTGCGTTTGTCGCCGTCATCCGTCGACTCCGAGGGTGGCGTGGGCGAGTTGGGAGAAGGTGTTTTCGACGATGCTGCACGGTCTTTCGAATCATCTCCAGACTCTTGTATCGTTTCCGGTACCGCGCTGTTTCGCCCTTGAGCAAAATCCAATGTCTCCTGCTTGCGTTTCGCCTGCACTGCCCACTTGACTAGCATCTTCTCAAGCAACTTGCCCCTCACCGGTTTCGACAGATAGTCATCCATTCCAGCCTTTTGACACTTTTCCTTGTCCCCTTGGATCGCGGATGCTGTCATCGCGACAATCGGTATGTTGCGGATGCTGGGCGTGTCCTTGAAGGGAGCTTGGGTGCGAATCGTGTGGGTGGCCTGGTAGCCATCCATGATCGGCATTTGGACGTCCATGAGGATGATGTCTGGACGATCGCGTTTACCATCCTTGGCGTCGACAAGGTACTCTAGGGCCTCCTTGCCGTTCCACACCGCATCCACTGCAAACCCTTGTTTTCTGATCGTTTTCAGCGCGATTTGCTGGTTGACTTGGCTTTGCAGACTGTCAGTTCTTGCATCAGAGGCTGGGGCCTGATCGACACGTACTTGTCTTCAACCACCAAAACATGAACATTCTTTCGCTCCGTTTCTGCAAGAGAAAAGAGGTGGTCCGGCAGCGCATGATGGAAATTACCGTTTCCTGGCAATGACACTATCGACTGTGCCCTGCCGTGACGGAGAGGCGACTTTCCGTTATTAGGAGCGACTGGCGTTAGAGGGGGCGTTCCATAATCATCAGAGCTGCCGCAGGAGACAGAAATATCAGATTGGAGACGATCGGGGATAGACGCCAGGTCAATGAGAGGAGAGCCTTCGTCTTGATACTGCGCCTTGTTGAACGGTATCGAAAACGAGGCCCTGGTGCCTTGTCCAAGCGTGGACTGAAGATCAATGTTGCCGTGCATCAAATCGACGAGCTAATCATGTTAGTGCGTCACTTACGTGGGGTTCCGGAACACTAACATTCTTGCTGATGGCCAGACCAAGCCCCGTCCCGCCGAAGCGGCGAGCTGTTGATGAATCGGCCTGGCTGAAGGGCTTGAAGAGTCTCTGTCTTACTTCCTCCTCAATGCCAATGCCGGTGTCTTCCACAACGAATTGGACATTGATAGTCTCATCGTTCTCACTATTGATGGATACCGACAGGCTGACATGTCCCTCGGATGTGAACTTGATGGAATTAGTAAGCAAATTCGTCAAAATCTGGCGCAGTCGACCCGGATCACCCATAACCTTGAGATCTCGTTCAATCTCGGGTGGGATGTTGCTCTCATAGCTGATGTTCTTCCGGAGAGCGGCAAATGCCATCATCTTGTTCACGTCTCTTAGGACCACTAAGAGACTGAACTGGACTTCTTCGACATCCAGCCGCCCCGATTCGACCTTGGAAAGATCGAGGATGTCGTTGATGACGGTGAGCAGTCCGTTGGCCGATCTCTGGATGTTCTCAGCACAGTCTTTTTGCTCTTGGTCTAACTTTGTATCCAGCAGCAGCTCGCTCATACCAATCACGCCCGCAATCGGTGTACGGATTTCGTGAGACATGTTGGCGAGAAACTGACTCTTCATCCTGCTTGCTTCTTTGGCAGCGACAGCATTGGCGACGAGTTTGGAATTCTCCTCCTCTCGCGCTTCCAATTCCTCACGACGTTTGCGAAGCTCTGCACAATGACGTTAGCGATCGCACTCACTGTTCCAGAAAAAGGACGACAAACCTGTGATGTCCATGCTCACACCATAGACGCCATCAATGTAAGACTCCTTCTCGATGCCTGCCTGGCGGGATGTCACCATCAACGGCGCGACACGCGTCCGATACCAGCGATTGTTTCCGTCAAATTGCATCTCGACAACCTCGGTAGTGTCTTTTCCATCGATGATTCTGTCAACCGAACCCTTGAGCTCCGAGATTGTCTTTCGGCCAGCTTCGTCCTGACTGAACAGGTCGTAGAGATCTGTCCCCATTTTTTCTCTTGTGACATGAGAGAATGATTCATTGAGGAGGCTTCCTTCAAGGAGGACGATCTTTCTGTCCCGATTGACTGCCCACAGAGTGACACGGGCATGCTCAAGCACACGAAGAAGCTGTGACCGCATTTGTTTCGCGCTCTCTCGAAGCTCGACTAGCTCGTGGATATCTGTGCAGGTGCCGAACCATTTGATGATCTTCCCAATGTCGTCACGGAAAGGCACAGCGCGGCCCAGCATCCATCTCCATTGGCCATCGTAGCGTCTGCAGCGGTACTCGGTAGTGTATTCCTCCTGAAATTTGTCAGCATCACGAACATTCTACGTCGAGGACTACAGCCACATACACCAGTTTGCAGGGAGTGTTGCCAGCGCCTGCTCGCCTCGGGCATGTCCTCTTCGTGGAAAGGCAATTTCCAGCCCTTGCCGAGAGATTCTTCCTCGGTAAGACCAGTATAATTGTACCACCTCTTTGAGAACCAATCATGATCTCCGTTAGGCTGTGTCGTCCACACCATGATCGGAATCAGATTAGTGATGTATTCGAACTGTTTCTCGTTCTCCTCGATTTGCTCGGCAATTCTCTTCGTATACTCGGTCACATCCTTGAAGATCACTATGGCGCCGAGGAACTCTCCTGAGCAATCGTCGCAGATTGGCTCGCCCACGATCTCATAGACCTTTCTTTCTCCAGTATCTGGGATGACCATCCCCACCCGGCGTTGGTTAACAGGCTGCCTGGTGCGACAAACCTGGACAACAGGAAATTCGTCAACCTCAAGTTGCCGCTTGAAGTCTTCTGTATATGCTTTGAATGATTCTAAGAATTCCCTTTGATCCAACGGTGCGTCTGCACCTTCATTTGGCAGAAACCTGAGCATCGCCCTGTTGGGAATCCCGAAATTCTCGTCTTTCCACATGGCATAAGCTGGCATAGCAATGGAATCGAGGATCGCGTCCTTCATCTGCGATGCCTTGAGGAATAACGAAGGCGCTGAAGTGTCTCCACTTCTAGACGGGGGTCCGTGAGGAGGGAAAAGTGGAGGGTGTGTGCTGGGGGATACAATCGCCGAGCCTGGATTGGAACTGTGTTGCGAGCGTCTTCCAGAAGAGGAACTTGAGCCAGATCCTGGAGATTTCCTGAAGCCGGCGGCCGTGCGGACAACGGTACGACTCGAAGGCGTGTTTTTCACTCCGCTTGTGCCTGGTCTTGCGCTGGTGAAGGTAAGAGTGAAATATTGCACGTCTTCGATGTTCCAGACGGAAATGATCATGGTGGCCTGGACCGCATCACTCTCCGGTCGCAGCTTTAGTCTCCGGCCATCCTTGGAGGGCGGAGGGCGTGGAGTGCCATACTTGTGCGGCGAGATGATGACGTCAACCGAGACATCGTGCACCGTCGTACGGGCCAAATTGGATTGGCTCAGCTTTGGTAGAGAGGGCTTAGAGGACAGGGAGTTCGGCTTGGGCGTCGGTGTGGGCGTACTCTGATCGGATCCATCCACCTTTTCGGAAGATTGGCCAACATTCTCCTCGGCCTCACCTTGGGCTTGTTTCCAGACAGAATCGAGGAAATCCTGGCGACATTAGCCTAGACGCACGTTGACGACGGACGCGGTAGGACGGCCTTACCTCCCAGCTGATGCGTATCGGGGAGCCATCCTGCAGCATGTCGATGCCAAGCTCGGGCATAGTCTGGCCGTGCAGCTCGTCGGTGACGGTCTGCACAGCATCTCTGTCCTTCTCATCGGCCGTGGGCCGGTCGGGTTCCAGCAGGCGGCCCATGGCCTCGTTGGCCAGCACAACCCTCTTCAGTGACGAGAGCACCAGGAGCGGCACAGGCAGATACTGCAGGGTCGCGAGGGCCATGGCGGTGGTGGTGGGGGTCGGCGGGATGATAATGGACAGCGGCTCGCTGTGGGCAGAGCCCGGCGAGGGCGGATCTCTGTCATGGAGGTCGAAGTAGCTGGTGGGGTCGGACAGGTCGTTGACGGAAAGTGACATGGGCGTCTTCTGGGTCGGGTATGGGCCGTCGGCGGCATCGCGAGGATTGTGACCGTTGGAGGCGTCGGCAGCCAGGTCCAGTGGCGGCGCGGCCCTGCGCATGATAAAATCGAGGCGCGTGGAATGCTCCGTCGTGGTGCAGCACGGACGGGCGGACGCTCAGAAGACGTGTGTGGCGGTCAAAGCGGGCGCACGCAGGATCGAGGACTCGGCGGAGGGCACATGGGCGTCGATTGGAGAGGCGGGCGGAGGGAGAGGTTGAAAGAAGACGGGACCTGTGGTTGCGCCTGGGCGGAGGCGTGGAGGACGCTAGGGAGACGGGCGGTGGTCTAGAATTCTGTGCGCGTTGGTAGTCGAATCGGGGTGCGAGTCGGCGTCGATGACGGCAGATTGGGGATTGCTGGGCCGGGACTTGAATGCAAAAGGCAGCGCGGCGGGCAGGCTGTGCTCTCGGGGGCGTGCGCCGTCTGGGATTGCGCGGGCAGCGAGGGCCGCATTGGATCAGCCGCGGATGAAGAGCGCGCGCAGAGCAGCGCCGCAGCGGGTTGACTGGGGCGAGTCACGGAGTCGGGGCTCGCGCTATGACGTCGATGCTTCAGGGCAGCAGGAGTCACCTCCGAGCCGCTTGCAGGCGCGGTTGGCCAACGCCCGCCGCCGCGAGGCCCAGAGGCGTTGCCCAGAGGCGTTGCCGGCGGCTCTGCACGCTGGAGGCGGTGCCGCGCACTGCCGGCCCTGCAGGGCGGTGGCAGCGGTGGCCGCCGCCTTGCTGGGGCTGCAGCTGCGCTGGAGGCGAAAATCAAAGGGCTCGCAGGCGAGGATCGGCGGCAGGGCCAGGGACCAGCAGCGAGAACGGGGCGGCGCACTGACTCGCCAACGCACCCCTGCCGCCAAGCGCCGCCGCAGGGCGCGTGGAGAGGAGAACCGACCCTGCGGCCTGGCCGCGTCCACCGAGCTCACCCTCCGCCAGCAGCCCGCCACGCACCCGCCCGCCCACCGAGCCGCCAGTCCTCTGGTCCTGCCACACTGCCCACCACCGAACCCAGAGCCCTACGTAGCTGCTGACCCGAGGCGCCGCTGCCCATTGGCTGCCCGCCCGACCGCACCTGAGACTGCACCCGCCACTTGGCACCACCTTGCACACTGTCCACCTCACCACCACCACCATCACGATGCTGTTCTTCGGCCTTGGCGGCCTCTTCTACGGTGCGCGCCGCTCCCGCCCCCCGCCCCCAGTCCGTCCGCACCGTGCTGATCGCCCTAGTCTCCGTCTTGCTCGTCAACGCCATCGCCGTTCTCTCCGAAGACCGCTTCCTCGCCCGCAGTATGCTGCCCCCTCCGTCCACTTTACCTGCAACGCACCGCGTCTCGTCCCATTGAGTCATTGCCGTCTCCCGCCGCGGGCCTACTGCCCCATACACACTCCCGTCTGGACAATGCTCGGATCGCTGACGCCATACGTTTGACCATAGTCGGCTGGGGCCAGTCCGCCGAGCCGGGCTTCGGCGGTGTCCAAGACACGCAGAGTGTGAAGGCGAAGCTGATAAACCTCATTGCCTCGGTACGGACATTGATGAGAAGTGAGTCGACCCATTTCCTTGTGCGCTGCCCGTGGCGTGGTTGGCAAACGTCGCGAGATTTGGAGCACAGATGCAGACGCGAAGCTTCGACCCTTCAGCCGTATGACGCTGAGCAGCCAATCTCTCGCTTCGCATGGAGCTGGGCCCCTTCCCCACGAACACGACCCCGGCGCTGACGCGTAAATGCCTGCTCTCTCCAGTACCCCTCATCGGCATCAACACCATGGTCATTCTCTACGAGCTCATACTAGGATGAGCGCTCCGCCGACGATGCGTATCGCGCAGCCGGCTCACAAGCCGCTGCCGTGTGTTATATGGGCATAATAGTCTATGGAGTCTCGGAGCATCATGACGCATGGAAGGGGAAGATCGGTTTTGATAAGCATACTATAAAAAGACGGCACATTAACCACGACATGTTGAAGCAGCGGGTGATCTACAGAGCAGCCAATAGAGCTTTGTGGAGCGGCCGCAACCAATCAATGGATCGGCATATCTTCTTAATCTCCAACAGCAAATCAGACCACAGCCGCGCGTTCCCAAGGCCGAATCATGGCTGCGCATACGCCGATGCGACGCAGGGCGATGCGCAGCGGAAAAAAAAGTTGGAGACAAGGCCGTTCGGACCGTGCCGAAGAAACGAGCAGTCAACTCAAGACGGACGATCGCGGCCAGCATTTTTGATTAATCTGCCATCCACATGCCAAATCGAGACGTACGCGAGACCCCCTTCCACCCGCCTCTCGCTCCCATCACAATCTCGCAACCAACCGAAGAAACCCAAACTGGCGCTTGAGCCGAACCCGTGATCAACGACGTGTTCTATTTTGAAGGGTCCAGGCTTGACCGCCAATCTCTCTCCTGCCGTCGTCTACGATCGTAGGATTGCCAGAACGGCGCCGTTCGCAGGATGCTGCTGATCGTGTGGGAGCCGCCACCGCCCAATCAGGCCCCCGAAACCCACCTGTAGCAACGGCCCTAGAAGCATGGCCAAAACGGAAAATCCTTGCGGCCGCGCGACCTAAAAGCTTATCCTTAGCCAATCGTCCTGCGGGCATCCTGCAAACATGCAAACGGCGTTCTTCGCTGCCCAAGCGGCTACACTTCATCATCGACCACCTCCCCACCACCTCACCCCTACCCAGGACAGCAGGGCAAACCGTCGCCGGCCTTTTTCGGCGCGCACACGGGCCTCTCCATCATCAAAGCAGCGGAGTCCGCATCCCTCGACCGGAAAAAGCGCTGTCGATGACGACAAAATCGTACCTTTTTAACCACCTGATACTAACAACGCACGCGCAATATTTCGCATCTATCGATCTGAAATACGGGGTCCATGCTTGTTACACGGCCAACTTCAAACCCCTGTTTGCGCCCCCCCACAAGGAATCCACCGTCCGGTCCGCCTCACTTCTTTGAAACCTTTTGAAGTAGAGGGTATGTAGAGTAGTAAAAAAAAAAGGGTACAAAGAAAATCAAATGGGAATAATATGGCCGACCGTTGGGTACCACCGAAAACCAGGGCGCCACAACCCCCCAATCATGTTGTCACACGACCCCCTTGCCCTTAGCCTCGGTATCACCGCTCTTTCCCAAGCCCCGAACGAGGGCCGTGAACGAAGGGGCAGAGGAGAGCAAACAATAGCGCCGCCTGCCGCCAGCCCGCCGTTCGCCCCGCAATGCGCAAGAACCGGGATGGGAAGCTTCCGATGTTCCGCTCAATCCGTAACCCGTAACAAACGTTCGACTTGGTAATTTAGGAGAGGGTAAAAGTGTTGATCTACTGCCGCAAACGGCTGTTGCTGGCTGTGCGGCTGTAGCGCTCTACACGAGGGAGGGGGGGGGGGGGGGGGGGGGGGGGTCTCCTCCTCCTTCAAAGACGTTGAAGCTCCTTGAAGGAAACCAGCATTATTGGCTCATCAGCAAAAAGCATGGACCAAGAGAACTAATTACGACATACCTGCCGGTGTGTGGCAGTGCGATAGATAGGCATATCGATCCTTTCTGTTTCGTCAAACTCTTATTTCCGTCTTCTTATTTCCCTCTCGCATCACTATCACGACGGGGTTGCAGAACACTTGGGCCTTCGCAATTTGGCGTTTGAAGCAGGTGTCCAGATGTGGGATGAGAACTCGGCGACTTTGAATGACAGATATGAGGTTGTAAGCACCCACGTAAGGTGCAAAGGATTATCTGTGGGCTCGATTCTTTGGCACTTTACTGTGCCATCAAACATGATCTATTCCTAATGTCCTGAGACGACAGGCTTCGTGCTTGAAACTGGTCGACTCTTATCGTTTTTAACAAATTAGGCAGCACGATGGATTATATTGAAGTCCACTCCTATTGTACAGGATATAAAGTGCCAGCTTGAGAGCAGGAGAAGAAGCATCCCTACGCGGACGAGCAAAAACCCCCTTACCCGTCCTTCCCAAACCACAGAACGAAGCATAAAGGAAGAAAGGCACAAACCAACAAAGCGACAATACGACGATCGCGCGAGTCGAAGTTCGAGCCTGGATATGTAGAGCAATGACGCGGGGATAGTCAACACAATTTGAACCAAAAGCTGTGCGAAGAGAAAAATGCCCAGAGAAGTAACCCATCCATCCTACTTCGAAAGAGAAGTCCTTTCCCAACGACAAGAAAATCAGCAAAACAAGACAGGCGAGCCCAAGCCGGTCCGTAGTATTCATGTGAACAAGATAGTGCCTCCTTTTGCACCAACTTCCAATTCACCAACGCTTTCCAAGGAGGTACTCGTTTCTCGCTTTTTTTTTGTGGCAGTCGCTCTCTGGCCGTCTATATCCCAACAAACCCGCTCGGAAATGCAATCAGATAGGAGCCTCCTCTCATCTACCATGCAACTCCTACCGCTCGTGGGCACAGCTTCCCGGCAGCAGGCCACGGCAGCAGTCGCAACAGGCATATAGGCAGTCATCCCTACAAGATATAAAGACCAGATCAGTGTAGATTTCTGGTCAAGAAGAAACAAGAAACATAGCCCGTCCACGGCGAGGGAGGACTAGGGCACTGTACAACGAGTGGCAGCATCAATGCTTACCCAAATCCCAACATGCTACTCTTCTTCTTCCCCAGGCCGAACTTGGGAATTCCTCTCTTCTCCTTCTTCATCTCCTTCGCGGATTTCTCCGGCGGAACTGGTGGCAAGTCTTTTTCGCCGACGTCGCTGCTGTCCGCATTCCTGTCAGGCGTTTCCGGATTCCACCTCGGGCTAGCGAAAGTCGGAGCAAGAGGTGTCTCGGCTTTTGGAGTTGATGGCTCATTACTCTGGTATTGCGGCGGCAGTGTAGGCGTCGGGGGCGCCTCTTCGAAGTTGAAATCCTTACCCGAGCCCGAGAAGAACTTGGGCTTGTGGCGAAGGCTGATGCTTGAGTTGCGGAAACGGTTAAGACCACCACTGATGCTCTTGCTGCCGTGGATGTGACGGCCATGGTGGCCGTTCTCCTTGGGCCTACTCGCCGGAGGCTCGCTACCGGTTGAAGATGGAGCAGTGGTGCTGGCAGTGTTGGGCGGAACATTTTCGGTTTCGTCTTTATGCAATCCACCATTGGCTATATTGGGCGGCGGGTCGGGAGAAGTTCGTTGCTGGGCGACGGAACTGGTGCGACGGACTTTCGCTTCCTCTTTGGCTGTGGTTCTGCTGAGAGCCATGACTTGACGCATTTCCTCCTCTTGCTTCTTCTGGGCATCCTGGCGTTTCATCCGTGCCTCCCTCAGTCTCGATTCTTCCTCTTTGCGTTGCGCCTTTGCCGTTTTTTCCGCCTCCTTCTCCTGGGCCTTGATCGACGCTCTGCGGTCTTTCTCCTCCCGGACCTTATCCTTGTCGTGATGGTTCAGCTTAAAGGATTTGCTCCATTTTGTCTTGAGTGTCGGCTGACCACCAAATGTCGTGAAATGCTCCGGCGGGGGCTGGGAGGCGGGCCGTACGGGCGGCGACTGTGATAGCGGTGGCGCTGTTGTGGCGTGGTCGAGGTTGACAAATTGGTGCTCTTCCGGAACCGGTGTCACCGGCGTGAACACATAGCCATTCACGGGCGTGTCCTCCGTCTTGATCGGCGACATCACAGACTCCAGTGGCACTGAAACCGTGTCACCGACAGGACTGATCACTTCCGATTCTTGCTCCTTCTTCATCGCCTCCTCGGTGGTCTCTTGGTAGAAGAGAACATAGGCGCAAGCCAGCACATTCTCACCCCCGAAAAAGTTCCGTACATATGACTTGTCCACAGGCTCCACCATCTCGTCGTCGAATAATAACCAGCCGCGGTCTTCTGTCTTGATGATGGAGACGTAATGGCCATGATATGCTCCGCCTCCGATGTGGACGACGACAGCATACAGTTCGTATAGACGGTCCGGGTCCTCGGCATCGTCGGTGGTGTTGAAAAGACGGAGGTAGTAGGGATAGACGACTCTATGAAACAACTTTTGTAACCGCTGCATGTCCTCTGTATACTTGAACCTTTTGAGATGCAATGCCAATATCCGGGGTAATCTTTTAACTTTCATACGCTTTTCCGCCTCCTGCAGCCCACCACAATTGTCGCAATGGAATTTGTTGCGCTCGCACAGCATTTCTTCTTCCGAGAATCTCTTCAAGCACGATGTCACCGATGAGTTTTGCTCCAAATCGACCGAAAGGTCCAGGAAGGCTTCGTCTCGCTGAGATACGTTCTCGCATGTCAAGCATCTTGTTTCCGACGTGAGCGTGCCTTCGAATAACGAATGGACCCATCCGGTGTTGCTGATGGCACCGTTCTTTACGGCATTGCTCAGCACGGGTGACATGACTGCCAGTCCGGAATCGGATTCTCCGCTGTGTTCAGGCGACTCTTGCTCGATTTGCTGCTGCCCTTGCTGGCGGGAAAATTGCTCGACATTTTCGACGACCTCGTTCAGAAGCAGATTCAAGAACTCGTGGGCGTCTTGGTGCATGGCAGACCGAAACATTTCGTTTTCTCGGCGCAATATCTCCAAGAACTTTTGGGGGCTCACGACACCAACCCGTGACCTGTGCGCGATGATGGCTTCGAAGATGTCCTTCAATGACGTAAACAGCGACTCGGGCATGCCATAAGCCTTGGAATTCTCGTAATCCATGTTCAGCACGGGTCCCGCGGCCATCGCTTGCTTCTTCTTGTATTCGGGCGAGTCCTTATTCTCCTCGGGCTTCGTAATGGGCGGGGCGCCAGGCACCCCTGGGCCGACCCCTGATTTCTTAGGGGATGCCAGCTGCGCGCTCGAGGGTTGCCTCGTCGGCGAAAGCGGATTTTGCACTCCATTGGCGCCGGCGTTTGAGAGATCGGTGTTGATGCGCAGCAGGCCGCTGGCGGTGCGATCGGCGAGGGAGTCTTGCGGCGAGCGGATGGGAAAGTTGATGACCTGTTCCCGAAAGGGGGTAGAATAGTAAAGACATTGTATTATGGAGTTGCAATAGCTGCCGAGACACTGTGAGCGTGCGCCAGTGGGGAGGGGTGCGGGTGGCGGCGGGCGTCATACCAGGTGCTGCCGAACTGTGACGCGGAGAGCGGCGAGTTAGCGCGTGAGACATGGACGGCGGCGGCGGCGGCGGCGGCGGCGCAATTGGCTTACATTCTCGAATCCGAAGAACTTGTCGCTACCGTTGGTGCGGATGGGACTCGTGTCGGCGGCGAGCAGCTTCTCGAGCGGCGTGGGCTGGGGCGCGTTGGGGTCCTTCTTGGCCGGCGCGACGGCCGTCGACGGGCTCGCGGGCGGCTGCGACGCGGTCAGCTCGGGGCGGCGTCAGGGATGGAGGCGGCGGGCGCGGAGGGCTCACCGCATTGGAGCGCAGCCTGCCAAAGAACGAGCTCATGGCGACGGTGGGCGGTGCTGGCGCGGTGGTGCGCTGCGCTCGCTGCTCGGGGCAGCAGGGTCCGTTGCGGGAGCGGCGAGGGCGTAGATGCGGCGGCCGGAAGGCTCAGGCTCGGGCAGCATGGGTGGGCTTGACGGGGTTTGCGGGCAAACGAGGGACGCGTGGAGATGCGCAAGCAGCGCACGGCGAGAGAGAGCGCGGGAGGGCGAGGAGGGGCCTGGGGCAGTAGTGTCATGGACGTCGACGCCCGCGCTGCGGCACAGCGCGCTTTTGCCGGCCGCGAGCGCCAACGTAAGAAGGAACGCCTCACTGCGCGCATCGGCAACGCAGTTGGCCCCAGCCACGGCATCTTCCTGCGAGTGAAGCTTCCATGGGCATTCTCCGCGAACCGCCCAAACGGGTAGGCTGCCCGGTGGGGACAAGATCCTCGCGCACAGTCGCCGCGCTGCAGCGAGCCAGTGCAACGTGCCGGTTGTAGCCCGTCGTCACCACGCGCCCAGCTGCAGGGCAGACTCGCTCTCGCATTTCGCGGTGGAGCGCCCAGCGCGGCGATGTAACGGCCTCGCGCTCCGCGGCCGCCGCTGCAGCCTAAATCCGCCTGTCCGCCTGTCCGCCTGTTCCCCACGCCGCGCCCGCGCCCGGCCAGCGTTGAACGGCGCGTCACGGCGTTGAGAGCCTCCGGGGGCGTGTCTGGCCCGCTAATCCCTGCATCGCCCCGGCCGTATGACGAGCGAATCTCAGCCCGCCTCCGCCCCTCGCGCGCACCGCGGCCGCCAAAGCGGGGGTTCATCCGAGCACGCTGATCGATGGGATTCCGCCGCCCCGGGAAGCCTAATGGGAACCACGCCCGCCTCGACGTTTGTTTTTCGCACGTTGCGCGACCCACGGTCCTGGGTTCCCGGCTGGGTGTGCGCAATAATGCTGATGACGTGAGGTGACCCCAGGCACCGCCAGGCTCGCGACGCCGTGCCTGGCCCAGCGTGCGGCCTGCGCCGCCCATTATTAATTACGAGCCCGCCTCGCGTGGTCCCGGCAAGCGGCGCCCACCACAGCAGCAGCAGGCCGACGCGCGCGTCTAGCCGGACGACCTTGTAAGTTGTGCCACTCTTCACCATGTCTGACAGCGGGACCTGCTGGAAACTCCTCAAGTCATGTCTGCAGCTTATGCGGATGCTGACCCACCGCCGCCAATGCGAACGCCTGACATGCAATCCACCATGCGACGTGCGCCTGACCCCACCCGTCCCGCATGCTGTGAGTGCTACTCCGTAGAAAGTACATATGTAATAGGACGGCAAACTGCCCGGCCCGCGTGAAATCACAAAAGCAGAAAGGCGCCCGACGGCCGCGTCCGCCTGGCTGTCCACACGTATGCTGTCGTCAAGACACCACCCGCCGCCCTAAGAATCGCCTCCCAGCGCAGAGTTCCCGGCCGTGACTTCTGCTCGGATCCGGGCGGCCTCCTTCTCCCAAACGGCTGCCTTGGCCTTGTACTCTGCTGCAGCTGTGGCGCTAGCTTCCTTCAGCCTGCTGGCCTCGTCGAGGTATGGCTGTTGCACCTGGCTGGGTGCATTACGCCACTTCGCACCCAGCACCGTGCGAATATGGTCCTTTGACGCCTTTGCGCTTGCATCTCCCGTAGCAGCCCTGCGTTGCTCGTCGCACTCTGCCTTGACGCTGTGCCAATGGTCCCTGGTGTACAGCAGATAGGGATTGTTGCCTGTTCGCTCCGGTTTGTGAGGCCGCTCCCCGATTTGCTCGAGGATCGCTGCTGTGATCGAAATCTCCAAATCCTCGTTCCTGGCCTGTCTTACGTTGCGCGACTCGACTGAGTCCATCTCATCGCGGCCATGCTTCGTGCCAGCGCCAGTGCCCAATGAGGGGTTGCCTTGCTTCGCTTTTGGTGCAACCAGGGGATGCTGCACTTCTATTGGCCCGAGCATCGAATCCACCACCTCTGAAGCTGCGCGCAGTCCGGACAGATATGCGCCGTGAACGGTCGCCGGGTGAGTTCCACAGGTTGCCTCGCCAGCAAAATGCAGCGAGCCAATTGGTCGTGCCATGGCATCATAATCGCCTGGTTGCGCGGTCGGACCCATAAAAGAATAGCTGCCACCGGCGAACGGATCCTTCTTCCACCGCGTCACAATATACTCAGTCGGGAGCGGAACAACAGCTGGTGCAAACATTTTGGACAAGCGGTCCGTCACCTCGCGAACCAACTCCTGATCATCTGTTACTTCAGTATCGTGCGCGGCGTTGCCGGCCATAAGCGCGACAAGGGTCGGACGGCCAGTCGTCTTGATACAGTTCCAGAAGAGCCAGAATCGCCCCCTGCGGGATTCGTAATCCTTCTGCTCCATGCTGTCTCGGAGCTCGGCCTCATTCAGAGTGCCGAAGATATCGCGATCGGGTTCCCAGAAAGGCGTGTCGTAGACCAAAGCGACCTGGGGCGCGTCAGTAGAGTTCTGCACTGTTTTCCGTAAGAACATTAGGACCTACTTTGTTTAACAGACCGAACCCTAACCGCTGGATTGGCGCCGTCTTCCACTCCGGCAAAGGGGGGCTGAAGATGATTGCCTCCCGCTTGAGGACGCCGAGAGGTATTGTGACCACAACCTCGTCGGCTTCGATCATGTCGCCGTTGTCGCATTCCACGATGTGACGCGCGTTTTCTTGGCGAACAGATCTTACGGGGCTGTTGAAGCGGACGTCGAGCTTGGTCGGGCTCTGCCAAAGGCCTCGAGGTAGCTGCTGGTAGCCTCCAATAATGTGCGAATGAGGTCCTTCAAACTCATTCCCAATGTCCTGGTCCCAGCCTCCAAGGCTCAGCTCATTTACGTGAGCGGCATTAGAATATTCCATGTTGGCATGGTGCCAATTAAAAAGTCGTATGTGTTTCGGAGTCATCTGCACCATGTTTTGATACTGCCTGACGGCTTCGTCCATCGTTGCGCCTAATGTTGGAAACTCTGGAACATGCGTCACCGAGTCGAGATTCAGGTTCTCCATGACCGAAGCGTCAGGTCTCAGCTGCCAGCCCATGTTACTTGCTGCGTCTGCAGCTGATACGTTAGTCCCAGAGCCAGGAGCAAGCGTGTACGCCCGTCCAGCCGACTTTTCAACCCCCATCAAGGCGTTCGGATTTACCGTCTTCTTGATCTTGTTGGAACTCAAGCTGGGTACCGTCTGCGATGCTCCGGCATCCTCAAGCGACGAGATGAGATCTCCAGAATCATTCGTGGGGTCCCGGCCCAACTGGATGAGACGTCGGTCCCCTTCAACGGTTTGCGGCAGTGGAGGCTTATTCCTAAACCGACTGACTCGCTCCAGAATGTCATTGTAGAGGCCCTCAACCAGCATGTCTCCCTCTTGGTCAACCACAGCCCCATCGGTGTCGTAGATAATAGTGTCGTCTTTGAGGGTATGATACCGGAGGGCGAGCTGTCCGCGGATGATGCAGTTCAGAGGATTCCCATGCTCAAAGCCCGTGATGATCTGTGCACCCATTTCGACGGTGTTCCGGAGTCCTGGAGGAAGCGTGCTCTTGCTCTGGTTCTTCAATGGATGCGAATATACACGACCGCCAATCCTCTTGCGCCCTTCAAGCACCACCACTCGAGGCGGCCTTTCGCCACCGTTCGTCCACTGTTCTCCAAGCTGCGCGATCAGGCCTTCCAGGTGCCTGGCGCAACCCAGCCCCGCCATTCCAGCTCCCACGATGACTATGGTCCTCCGCTTACCGCCTTTGGCCTTGGCTCTCGATATGGGCCCGGCAGTGCTTTGAAGCTCGATACAACCATAGTTGATGTAGCCGTTCCGCACGAGCCACTTGTACGCCACTTGCGCCATGTTGAAATACCGGGCATCTCTCGCGCACCCCGCAGCTTCTGACTTTGTCACTGCGACGAGAGGATTCCTCGTCCAAAGCCGGAGAATGGCGTTTCGGATGTTGAGGTACACGGTGACTTGAGAATGTGTGATGTGGTTCCTGAGAAGCTCGTACTCGCCAGGGTGCAAGGCGAATGGATTGAGCCTCGACGACTGGGCTGCCAAGATGCACTGTCGCGCGAATTCCAGCACGTTTATGTGCGCCGGTATCGATGATTTGACCCTGAATGCAGGTAAGTTTTTTCCAATCGGTGGGTAGCCAGAAGGCCGTGTGGTAATGCCGGGGGACTCCTGCTTTATCGACATGTTGGAGGACTGCGGCGTATCCTTGCCGCCCACAGAGCGCTTCTGAGCACCGCCAGACAATGGATTATTGGATTCGTCAACAAGACCAGTCGCACCTGCCGGGATTGCGACATTGATCTCGGGAGTCCCCTCTTTCAGGGAGGTGCGGCGGCTCATCTCAAACTCATCAGAAATCATCTTCGACATACTGTTGGGGCCGTCGACGTGCATGGCGACAGGGGCTGCAGCGTCTTGGGGGGTGGTGGCATGCTCCACCGGCACATGCTGCTGGTCCACGGTGCCGTCGAGGGCGGGGCGGGCGTCGTCGCCGTCGCCTTTCAGGCTCATGTGACTGCCGCCGGGCTCAGAAAAATCATTGTTATCGCCAGGCTGCACGGACGACGGGCCCGATTCATCGTAGCGGTCGTACAGAGGGCCGTGGTCGAAGGCGGAAAAGGTGACATCGTCGATGTGCTCATCCTTCAGGGCGAAGTCCAGCTCGGATTCCTTGGCGGCGAGGTGGTCTTCCAGCAGGTCATGCGAGGTGTTGAGTAGATACGAGTGGGCGTCGGCAGCATCGCTCTCCGTGGCGGTTTCGGTGGAGAACATGTTCCTCAAGGCGCGGTAGGAGCTTGTGATGTGCGAGAAGCGAGAGGCGCTGGGAATGAATCGATTGGCGCTAAAGAAGGACATGAGCAGGATCGCAGTAACTTGAAACGGGCGGCGGCCTCTCGGGAGCGATTCATTCTCTGCAAGAGGGGCGGCGCTCCTGCGAGTGATGTTCTGGCGGCGCCATCCTGTCCTGCGCTCGCTCGTGCTTTTCGGGGCTTACCCAAGCGAACCACCGGACACTTAATCCAACCTCACCCGGACCTCCCGCCCCAGCGCGACCTTCTCTGCGAGCGCGTGCTGCGCCAGAGCCGCCGTGTCTGTCGCGGTGCCTGCGCGCCAGAGCCGGCCCCACGCAGCGCCGTGCCCGATGTTTCCGCGACGGGAGCGTGAGCCCCATCTCACTCGCCCCGAGCACGCCGCCGTCCGCCCACCCTCACGGTACACCGCACATCACCTCCCCACTGCCGAGCATGTCGTCGACGCGCGCCCTGGCTGCACTGCCGCTGCCACCTGTCTCGCGCGGTCGCCTGAGCTGCGCGGTCTTTTTCCCGTTGAGAATTCCCCACCGCCTCCAGTGACATCACCATTGACTCGAACTTCCCCCTCTCGCATGCTGCGTCGATGCTCCCCAGCTGCGGCTTGAATGCAATCACGGCGCTTCCTGCATGCTTACCGCCATGATAGAACTTCGAAGCGTCCGATGAGATCCTTGATCGATCCTTCCTTACCGTCTGCCATTTGCGCCGTGCAGCAATGGCCCGCACAAGCACGGTTCAGAACGACGAGCGCTTGCACACAAGGCACATAGTCAACGTACTACACTTGCTTCAGTCTGCCCCGCGTGATGATGGGCTCGTTCCGATCAGTTGCGGATGACGTAGCGCATTGGTTCTCTCGACCGCCAGAATGCAATTGAACAGTCGGATAACAGGACGCAAAGTCTGGCGTGACTGGGAAAAGCCGTAAATACGGCTTTGTTCCGGGGCCTATCGTCGAGAAAACGCCGGCTTGAGCAGGTTGAGGTTGCGGCGCCACGCAGTGCAACCAAACTGCTGGAATCTCGTGTTGCTTTTGTATATAAATTTGGGCATGGGCATAGGCATCCTGCCGAAAAGAGGCATGGCTGAAGGGCACGGCTGGGGTAGATGCCTTATCCATTGGTCCAATGCACAAGTGTGTCAGGGCCTCGGATACGGAAGGCTTTTGATAGGCCTTGCCCAACTGGACATCAGTTGCACTCCGCTAGCCCTCGTAAAACCAACATCGAATTCCTTCAGACTGTAGGCGCAAACAGCGCCAGCACAATCACTGCTTGTGAATGCGTGGAGATTAGGTTCGAGTGTCAAGCTGGTGATGAGAGGTTCCGACAATGGACAACTGATCGCTTCTGCCGTGGTGCACGGGCCTTTCCACCGGGGTCCCCAGACGCGCCGCCGAGGGTCAAACAACACGGCTCCCGTCCCGTCCACCTCGAGCTCCGCGTGTCACGCTCACCGCAAACCCCGCTACCGCCGGCCCAGCACTCAACAATGGCCCAGAATCGCAAGTACGAGAACTTGCCCGACCTCGTACGCCATCCCACCAGCCATTGCTGGTCTGAAACTTAGCTAACAATCGGTTTTCTCCAGGACCGCGATGCACCAGATATCTACGAGACGCCCGAGCTGACCGAGGACGCGACGCTGCCGGTACGCACCCCCCTCTTCCTTGCACCGCATGAAGCCATGCGGCAATGAATATCCATCTTGATCTAACGCACCCCGGTCTGCTACCCAGAGTTCCACAGCCCGCTCTCCCTCGCAAGCATCTTACGATGAATCCGACGACGGCCTCTCCAACATCGTCCGCCGGCACCTCGAGCCGCACGACGCCCGCGCAATTTTCCAGCCCGCTCGCGTCGACGCCAAAGGGGTGGACTTCTCGGATCGGATACGCCGGCAACGCCGCTCCTACCGCACCGCGTCGAGGCGGCACCGGCGTGGCAGTCGCGGCAGCGACGACGAGTACGGGGATTTCAGCGACGAGGATGACGAGACGCTGGAGCGGAAGCTGGCGAGGCTAAGACGGGAGGTCGAGGAGGTGAAGCAGGAGGTAGAGATGAGGGAGCAGATGAAGAAGGAAGGCGTCGAGGTGCTTGAGGGAGATGGGGAGGGAGAGGGAGAAGAGGGAGAAGAGGGGGAGAAGGGAGAGACGGGGGAAGAAGGCAGGGAGCAACCGCCCGCCGCCACTACCGCTCCTGACGAAGGCGACGAAGAGGAGGAATACGAAGACGATCCGGTGGAGGGCATCGAGAAGCTGAGCGAGATGCTGGACGCCGTCTACGTGCAGCGCCAGGGCGGCGTCAAGGGCGCAGAAGCGCAGTTCGCACGCACGCTTCGGCGATTCACACGGCCGGATGCGATGACCACCACCTCGACGATACCGCAGACAACAACGGGCAGCATCACAGTCACGGCAGCATCGGAGCAGGCCGCGCAGGCGCTGTCGCGCGCCGCCGACTTCGACGCGCGCCTCTCGCAGCTGGAAAAGGCCCTCGGCCTCAACGCCAACAACATGCCCGACATCGCCGCCCACCCGCCCCGCAGCATCCTGCACAACCTCGACACGCTCGAACGCCAGCTGCAGACCATCTCCGAGGTCTCGACCTCTTCCCTCGACGCCGCCAGCCGCCGCGTGCAGAAGCTCATCCAGGAGGCAGAGCGCCTCGATGAGCTCCGCCGCTCAGCCCGCGCCTCGCAGGACGGCGGCAGCGGCTCGTCGCCCACGGGCGGGCGGCAGCGCAGCAGCACCGTCTCGGCCAACGCCGCGGCGGCGGCCGCAGCCGCAGCCGCCGGGGGAGCAGCAGGAGGAGCAGCAGCAGACGCCGGCGGCGCCAGCGGCGGCGGTCAGGCGACGGGCGGGCCCCCGCCCGAGATGATGGGCGCCTACATCGAGGACCCGGAGCGCGTGGCCAAGATCAACGCGCTCTTCGGCACGCTCGCGACCATCGAGCACCTCTCGCCCACGCTGCCCCTCGTCCTCGAGCGCCTGCGCACGCTGCGCCTCATCCACACCAGCGCCGGCACCGCCGCCCACACGCTCGACGAGCTCGAGAAGCGCCAGGCCGAGCAGGCCGAGGAGATCCGCCAGTGGGGCGACGCCCTCGCCAAGGTCGAGGAGAGCCTCAAGCAGGGAGAGGGCACGCTCCAGGACAACATCAAGACCGTCGGCGATTGGGTCAGGGATCTGGAGGCAAGGATTGCCAAGTTTGCGGGTACTGCCTGAGGAGAAGGGGAAGAGGAGTGAGTCATGATTACGATGGAGAGGGACTACCTAAGGGAAAGAGCGGCTTCTACCCACCCCTCCTCGTTTGGTTGTGGTTTTTGTTTTCTCTCCCCCCTCTTCTTCTTTTGTCGCATTGACGTGAATGTGGGAAGCCCATTCCAACGCGGGGGAGCGGCGCCACCCCTCCGATGCTTTTTATTCGGTAGTAGTCTAGACTTCCCTGGAGGATTTCCCGAAGCTTCGGCTGCTTCCCCCCCCAAACCCACCACCATGCGTAAACGATACCCACGCATTGATCGGAACGACCGAGGAGTGCATGTGATGCTGGTGTGATGTGTCTTTTGTCATACGAGTTCATGAATCTACGCAAGACGGGCGGAGAGTCCGAAGAAAAAGAAAAGAAACAGAAATAGAATTCTTGTGGAGATCGTTCCAGTCTGGTCACTTTTCAGAACTGTTGTCATCGTGAATCCAAGACCACGGTCACATTTTCAGGACATTTGAGCGCATTTGCTTCTTGAAATCTCGACATTTCTTCCTTTTCGATTTGCGCAAACGTGAAAAAGGTTTTATACTGTCGTCATAACACTGGCGTTCTTGTACCAGCTCAACAGCGGATTCTCGCCGCTCCGAACCTGCGTGTCCTCCAAAAACGCCCACCTCTTCAGGAAGTCCTCGTGCGTCATGACGTGCGTCAATTTGCCGGTGATGGCGCGGTAGACGTCCTCCATGACGCCAAAGTCCGTGGGGAAAAGGATATCAAAGTAGCCTTGTTGTACCTGCCACAAAGCGAAATGCTCATGTCAGACGACGCCGAAAGATTGAAAAAATTTACACAGCGTTGTTTTCTTTTGAAGGAGGACTTACCAATGGCGTGCTCACAGGCACCATTTTCCGCTGGTACCGCGTTTGCACGACGGGCGCGTTGATGCCCTTGACGGTGTCGGGCAAGCTGTGGAAGTCGCTGGAGACGAGCTTGTGTGCAGGGAAATATTTTTGGAGGATGTCGAAGAACTGCATCAATCGCGTAGGGATGAATTCCGGGACCGTCAGGTTCGGCGCAAATGGTAGCCGCGACCGGGCGCTCCGAAGCCATTTTGGTTGTTGCAGAGGATGTTTGTAGGATTTGGTCACTGCCGCGTCTCGTACGCGGAGAAACCGTGCGGCCACAGGATCGATCTCGCGGGTGTAGAACTCGAAGAAATCGCCATTGTTGTCGATCAGGACGTTGCCCTGGAGGGCGACTTCAGTGAAGGGATCGTACCGCAAGCAGTCATGGGCAAAGTTGTCGAAGACCTCAAGTGCAAGGAAGAAGCAGGGAGACGAGACGTAGGTGTCCCAGTCGAAGATGGAGCGGTTGATGACCTCAACTTTGTCCAAGTGGCCGCGGGCAGACGCCGAACGCTTCAAGTGGTGGACTTGTAGGGAGGCCAGGGACGAAGAAATCTCGATAACGCGGAACTTGGTGCGCTCGTAGACTTCCGGGTGTACGTCGCGGATGTAGTCGAGGATGTTGATCATCAGGGTTCCATTCCCGGCACCCATCTCGTATATGAGCAGGTCGTGGTAGGGATACTGCGACAGCTTGTAGTTGGTGACGAGATACCTTGCAATGGATTCGCCATAGTAGGGGCGGAACAGCTCGGTCGGAGTGTGCCACAGTTGGCGGGTTTCGTTGTATTCCTTCTTGTCCAACTCATCCTCGAATTGCGTATACCTCTCGCTGAGAATGCGATAGAACTCAGGCTCGTCTTTGAGATTGCTGAAGATGAAGGGTTCGCCGGGATGGAAGATGACGACTTGCTTGGAGAAGTAGCCGTAGTGAGGATTGTACAAGCTGTCTGCACGGCTATCAGCGACGTGTCGGCGGACAATGGGCGTTGGATACGTGAGTCGGGGTACCTTCGATAAAGTCCCGCATGAGCATCTTCACCCGCCGCGGCCTTTCCCTCCGAGACCGCAACGAGTCGGCCGTCACCATTGGATAGCGGTTGAACTCCTCGCTCCGCTCAAGCGGGAGGATGTCGGTCCGCTGCTGCCATGTGCTCCCAGGGCCGGCCGCGACTGGGCCAGCGCCATCTCTGCTGTACGCCAGGCCGCGGCGGTGGGGGCGTGCGAGCGAGACAGCGGGCGCCCGCAGGCATTGGCTCGCGCGGTGCGAGAACAGTTGGCGAAACAGCTGGGCGACGACGGGCGAGTCCATGGCTGGCGGGGAGAGGACAGCGTCGACGGAGACAAGCGGGCGCGCGCTCGAGCTCCGCGTCAAAGGCGGGTGCCGGCGCCACGCGTGGCTGATGCGGGTCCAAGCTTCACCCCCACCAGCCACACCTTCCCACATCACTCCGAAACCGCCGCTCGCCGCCCGCCGAATCCTGCACCCCCTACCATTGGAAGCATTTTCGCACACCAATTCGCCCGGGCAATGTGCGTGTCGTGACCTGGAAGAGCATGGACTTCCTGAACCATCAGGCCCGCTGGTGGATTGGCGGCGCCTTTGCCCGCTGGTGGGTTGGCGGCGCCTTTGTCGCCGGTGTCCTCTTGACACTGGGCTACAAAGACGTTTATCCAGACCTCGAGCGCCGCTACAGACAGGCAAAAGAGGCGAGAAAGCCGCGGCTCAGGCGGCTGGACCCCAAGGCTTCCATGTGGTCTCTCCGCACCGTCCACCAGGTCGAGCTCAAAGACAACACCATAAACCTTGACTCATCCGAGCCTGTCGAAGACATCGCAGAGGGCATTGAAGGCTCCATCGGCAACACCCCGCTCATCAAGATCAAATCCCTGTCTGAGGCAACCGGCTGCGAGATCCTGGCAAAGGCCGAGTTTCTCAATGGCGCCGGCAACAGCCCCAAAGACCGCGTCGCGCTTAGCATCATCAACATGGCCGAGGACGAGGGCTTGCTGACTCCAAACTCGGGCGACATGGTTTACGAAGGGACCGTCGGAAGCACTGGCATTTCTCTCGCCGCAATCTGTCGTGCAAGAGGCTATCTCGCCCACATCTGCATGCCCAACGACGTCGCGCTGGAGAAGTCGGACCTGCTCTTGAGGCTGGGCGCCGAGGTGGAGCGTGTTCGCCCGGCGCCCATTGTCGACCAGAACCAGTTCGTCAACAAAGCTCGCGCGAGGGCTTACGAGCACACCAAGGACCCCAACAAGCCCGGCAGAGGCATCTTCGCCGATCAATTCGAGACAGATGCCAACTGGCGGGCGCACTACGAAGGCACTGGACCGGAAATCTACGAGCAGACTGGACGGAAACTTGACGCATTCGTCACTGGTGCTGGCACTGGTGGAACCATCTCCGGCGTGGCCCTGTTCCTGAAGCCCCGCCTCCCCAAACTCAAGGTCGTGCTGGCAGATCCCCAGGGCAGCGGATTGTTCAATCGAGTCAAATTCGGCGTTATGTTTGATCCTAAGGAAAGGGAAGGTACTAGGAGAAGGCACCAGGTCGACACGATTGTCGAGGGTATTGGCATTAACCGCGTGACGCACAACTTCGAAGCCGGTCGGCAATTGGTTGACGATGCGATCCGAGTTACCGATGAGCAGGCCATGGCCATGGCGAGATGGCTGGTTGAAAAGGACGGGATTTTCATCGGAAGCAGCAGCGCCGTAAACTGTAAGTTTCCCTCAGACCCTTCTTCCGCACAAAGCTAACGTGTTGCCAGGCGTGGCTGTGACGAAGCTAGCTTTGCAAATGGGCCCTGGTCACAGGCTTTGTACCCTTCTCTGCGACAGGTATGGTCCGAGCTTATTTTTGTAGAAGTTAATACGCTGACAAGTCGGCAGCGGTACGAGACATCTGAGTAAGTTTTGGGCCAAGGCTGGCGCGGTCGGCAATGAGGAGGGCATGAACATTCAGACCGTGTTGAACGCAGGTCCCAAATGAAGGTTTCATCAAATAGAAAACAATAGACGACGCTCTCGCTAATTACAAGCGGTTTACGGATGAGTCCCCGGAAAAGCCGGGTTGCAGCTCATGGTGAGCTAGTCATTTTGCCCACGAATTTGGGAGGAGTTCGCGACCAACAGCTTCAAATCTACGAGAGCCAACTTTAAGCTCTTCCGTAGCTTACCTTACATTGCGATACCACTTTCTCTCGACACCCTACTTAAGCAATACCTAAATCCGGCGAACGACTTGACAGACCTCCCATTTGCGACGCCATTCAAACCATTCCACATTCCCAACGTGACGCCCTCCACAAAAATTTGGAGCATGCTCTCGACATACTGCACATGCGCACCGGTTTCTGCCATGACAACCCTCACGCCATCAACGTCATCGTCATCTAGATTACCTCACCTCAAATCACAACCAACAAGTCTCCTCTGTGTCTGCCCCGGCTGCGACGTGACCGGGCTGGTCTCCAGTGCCAAGTAAGCAAGCGCGCACACCTTCAACCCTCTGTCGAATCACCCCGATACTTTACGCTCCATACATCCGGAAACTGCAACGGCACACGCCTCCATGGCAGTGGGTCCACTCTGGCTCCTCACATCACAACCCGAGGTGGTCACACCACCACCATCTCACTTCTCGGCCTCTGGAAGTCTGTCGATTGGAGAAGAAAAAATAACAATCTGTTGGACAATATGTGCTTCTCCGCAGCAATTCATATGAATCAAAATCATCAATCATTTATATTACTGGCCTGCAACATTGGGGAAAGAGGGACATGTGCATACAGCTACTGTAAAATAAAACTGAAAGATGACCAGTGATTCAAGATGAAAGCTTCTCACGCTCGGGGTCCAACAAAGTGTGACGGTGTATACCTTTCTGTCATGATACGTACCCATCCCCTTCCCTCCCTACCGGAGAGTGATGGTCTTATACCCCTAACTACTCTAGGCACCACGTGCCCAATCTGAACGTTTAGCCAGTAAAGCCTCACAAGTGGTCGCGGCTGTCACAGCTTGTTAGTTAGTCGCGTGCAGCTCAGGCTCTACTCCATGCCGCACACCAACCATAGGAAACATACACGTGCAACGAGACCCAGAGACTTCTCTGCATACAACTTACTCGGTTGGAGCAGACGTTTCTATAATAGAACGCCATACCGAAGCTCGTACAGCTGAATCTTTCCAAGCGGCATCCAGACCCATCGACCGCGGTATGTTGAACCCCAGATGATCTTTCTGTTACTGTCAATAGTCAAAAGGTACGACTCTTCATTTCCGGGAGATGGTTCGCACTCCTCCAGAGTCTCCGTCCATTATCATGCCCCAACTATACTATACAAGTGGTCTTCACACCGACCTTCACCATCAGTCAGAAAAGCCGAGCAGGCGCAGTGAAAAAGGGATGTTGAACACGACTCCGTGCCCATTAACACGGCGGTGCAAAACGTGCATCCCACCATCACTTCCTGCAGACGCGATGAAGGTGTCGGCTCTGAACTCAGCAATACCCCCAGCCCGGTAATAAGAGATCCATACGGTCGGTAGAAGCCCGCTTGTCAGTCAAGATCCCACTTCCAACGACCGACCGACCGCCAGCACATATGTGCATTGCATTGCGGGAAATCCACAGCCAAGCCAGCCAGCACACGCAGCTGGAGAGAGATGGCCACGTCACAGCTGGCCGCGGACCGGGTCCCTGCGGGTGTCTGCTGGCACTTGGTCGTATGTACGTCTGACCGCCATCAAGAAGTGTAGAGGACCCGATTGGGGCACCTGCACTGTCAGCCAGTTGGGTCCTGCAGGCGGCTCGTGTTGATCGGTTTGGGATGATCTTCGCGCAGCGGGGCCGCGAGAGGTGTGTCTGTGCTCGGTTGGACAGCATCATGTCATGGGTCATCGCACAGGTGAAGGTGGCAGTAGTCATATATTGGACGTCTTTCTACGACTCTTTATTGTTTGCGTTGTCATGAGTCAGCTGTTTACGGCTCTCATGGCGACTAAATGATCGACTGGAGCCCTGACTAGTGAGAGTGGCGGTCCGACCTTGTTACCAGACGACTTGATGGAGCTTCTCAAGCACTTGAAAAGGAAATGCGCTAGGTAAACCTGGTGGTTTGCGGCATTGTATTATGGTGGCTTTCCTCGGCATCTTGGCAGATTGATGGTTACCAAAGTAATGGGCCCTTGGAGGAATACTCGTGAATTCGATGCGCAGGACGGGAAAACAGCTCCAAGTTCAGTCCTGATCAGTAGTTAACTCGCCCACTCAACGCTGCCGTTGTTGTTTCGAGCTGTGATGTCAGTGCATTGTCCTTCCAGGTTTCATCCACGTCAAGCTTCCCGCCATCTCATCGGTCATGATAAATATACTGGGGTCCAGCCAATCATAGTGTGACTTAGGTACAATGTAGCGTAGTGCGGTAATACCTGCATTCCAATTTATGTTCCGCGGTGACAATCTAGTGTGTGCTTGACCGCTGTCTAATATACCGTTGTCGTGAGTAGTCATAACCTATTGATACAAATTCCCGTGAGCTTCCTGACAGCTCCCATTCTAAAACCATATTCTACACATAAAAGAAACAAGAACAATCGTAACCAAGAAAGCTTCACGTCAAGCTTAAGCGGACCTCTCCTTGTGCTTCCTACGGATGCTTCCGAGCCTCTTCTTCAAGCCATCGGTCATCTTGTGGCCAGTGGATCGGCTACGAGACACGCCGCTGTCGGGGGTCAACCAGTCGTTGAAGCGGCGCTCGCCCACGTAGCCGTCGCCATCGGGGTCGGGGTAAGGTCCATTGTACTGAGGACCGACATCGGACCTGTTGCGAGGACGAGATTGCATTTCAATTCCGTCGCCTCTCCCGCTGATACTGTGCTTCTTCATGGCCTCTTCAATGGAGTAGCTAGGCTCGCCCTTGCCCTTAATGTCGTTAGGGTGATATTCCTGTCAAGTGTTAGTAAAGGTGGTTGAGCTGCGCCAACAAAGTTGGATAATCAACTTACAATACCGGGCCAGCGCTTGTAGTTACCGCCGTTGTGTAGCATCATGTCGTCTCCCTCTTCGTAGTCGTACCTCCGACCGAAACGATCGGTCATGCCAGACGGGACAACAGCAACGCCATCGAGGGGATGGTGTCTCTCCACGGCATCCTTCAAGTTCTCTTGGGGTGTGGCCTTGATTGCCTCGGCGTTGGAATCCTGCAAGGCGGCAAGCGGGCTCGTTTCCCAGGAGGTGTTGCGTGCCAACAGTGCAGCGTCGTACGGGCCCTCGTGGTGGTATTTGCCGTTAATGGTGTCCAAACGATCAATCGTGTCGGGGCCAGGGATGTGACGCTTGTTGAGGTGGGGCGAACGGCGGGCGAGCTTTTCCTCACGCTTCAATTGGTCTAGAGGATTGACGGACTTGTCACCAGGGTAACGTTCCCGCAGCGAGCTGCTGCGACGGGGCCTACCTTTCATCTCGGCCTTTCCAGGCGAAGAGCTCGGGTGGCTTCCGTGGCTGCCGCTGCGGCGGGACCGAGGTGACGTGTTGTACGACGCAAACGCATCCTCACGGTGGGGGAAACTTGAGCGTCCCGGGCTGGCAGACGACGGAGGCGTCGGGTAGCCGGAGCTGCTGATGCGCTTACTGGAGACGCGGCTTCCGTCCTTGGAGCCGACGGACGACTTCCGGAAAGGGTTGGTAGAGGAGCCAGTGGATTGGCGGCTCTGCACCCGGGCTTCCCTGGGAGGCGAGTAGGGCGGCGGCGGCATGCTCACGTTAGAGGGCTGGGGTGCAAAGGTTGAGCGGAAATGGGATCCGGGGCCGGTCTCGTCGCTGGGATCGGGCGCGATGAGAGGGTCGATAAGGTACTGGTGAGCCTGGGCAGGAGTGAGCAGTGCTATCGCACGGGACTTGGGCAGCGGGAGCTTACGGCTTTGGCGTCCGCCTTGTTGGGTTCCATGCTGGCAAGACTTGTGGAATGGAGCGGTTCGCGACTAAGGAATTGTTGGTGGCTAACTCCAGCGATGGGTGAGAGAGACAGAGGTGTGTGGTGTGGAGAGGAAAGCGTAGCTGCGGGCTCGAGGTGCATATGACTGCTGATTTGTTCGACAGCAAAAACGGAAGGCGCTGCCCAGAAACGGTACGCGTAACTGGGGCGCAGGCCCTGCGTCATTGCGGGTGACGTTGCGCCGATCGCCCATCCGTTCTGGCAGCACCGCAGCAACCGTCCCTGTCGCGCCCAGCGCACACGCCCAAACAATCACTCCAAACTCCATCTCTGCGCGGTCCAGACCAGACGCCATGCCGCTTGTCGCGTACTCCGACTCGGAGTCGGAGGCTGAGCACGCCGCGCCGCCGCCCGCCAAACGACCCAGACGCGAGGCCTCAGCCTCGTCCGCCGACTGCCGCGGCCCTCCGCCATCCCTGCCGCCGCTGCCCCCGGCCTTCCTCGACCTCTATGCAACCAACGCCCGACAGAGCACCCACGACGATCCCGCTCTGCACGCCGGCCGGAAGCGCGCCATCCCGCACATGGACGGCCATTGGCCTTCGCACGTCTATCTAGAGTGTGAGTTACGCCCGTTGCACCCGGCAGCCCGTCGCGAACGTCGCCATGACATCAGGCCATCCCCCCGCGCTATTTTTGTAACCCGGCCGCCAATCTCGTGTCCTTCGTTTTGGATGGCCTCGTTCGATCCCGTCTGTCTGCGCGGTGGGTGAATTCAGGCTAACTGACGACGCCTCGAGGGCATCCAAATGCCGTAGAATCCCGCACGCTCCAGTCGCTTCTTTCCGCCGTGGAACGAGCCGTCGCGCTCCACTTCCACACCTCCCCGACCAGTGACGCCCCGGGTGCGCCCAAGCAGCAAACCGTGCACAGTTCGCTCTTGACGCCGCTGTCCACGCCTGCGCCGCTGCACGTGTCGCTGTCGCGCACTTTGCCCTTGCCAACCGACACGCGCTCTCCGTTTCTGGATGCCCTGGCCGCAAATCTCAGGCGCAGCGGCGCGCGTCCGTTTGAGGCACATTTCGAGGGCTTGAAGTGGGTGCCCAACTTCGACCGCTCGCGCTGGTTCCTCGTGCTGGGCGTGCGCCGCCCGCCTAACGATGAGTTGAACCGCCTGCTTCTGGCGGCCAATCAGGCGGCGAAGAAATTCAGGTACCCTGAACTTTATGCTGGCACGGCCCGGAATAATCAGCAGCATGCCGAGGGCGTCGACATGACGGGAGGCTGGGGAGCTGACACTGCCGCAAAGGACCACAAGGGAGGTGAAGGGAACACGAAAGGCTTCATTGATGGGAAGAATGATCGATCCAATGCCTTTCATGTCAGTCTCGCCTGGAGCCTGGAGCCGCCTCCCGCTGAGCTCCAGGAATTCTCTGGGGTGGAAGATATAGCCGCTCTGATGAACCAGGACGTTGGGCAGATGAACGTCAGGTTCGACGTCGTCAAGGTGAAGGTTGGCAATGCGGTTCACGCTCTCGACATTGCCCCAAAACGCAAGAATGAGAAGGGCATCTTGGGTCTGGTCTAATTCCTGCCAACGTTTGCGAGTAGGATTTCGGGTATAAACTTTTTTTTTCCCGACCTTGCCAATGCTGCTATCATTACAGGAACGGGACGCAGGGATAGGATAAAAAGGATCTCATCTAAAAAGATTGTTCAATCTCGCCAAAGAAAGTTGATTTGCCGGCTTACCCGCCGATCTGCAGCTGGCCCGTCCCCCTCACGATGCGAGCGGCGCGCATGCGTTCCCACCTCCGCCAACCGAGCAAGCCCACTTTTTTTCTGGCCCCGCCGAATACGTCACCTCCATTCCGGGGGTGGGTGCGGGATTGGCACAACGATGATGAAAACGGGCCCTGCAGAACAGGATATGCTTAAAGATTACCTTGCTCGCGTTCTCACCGCTCGACGGATTCTCGTTTTTTTTATTGCTTTTCATTAGTTTGCGGAGCGGGTTGCCGCAGCAGCCATGTATGCGAGTCAATTTTGTGCAGATCGCTGTGAATTCAAGTTTTCACTTCTTGTTTACTACGTAGGAAGTTGTGGTAGGTAGCAATAAACTTGGGAGAGGCGGTCTGAGAGGATGTCTTTTTACTGGACCGCTGTCGTCTTGGTATCTCCGGAATGCTTGCTGTCGGGCATCTAGGTTCAGTACGATATCTTACCAGAGCCAGGAGACTTTCATCCGGACCCCTGGAAAAACAGGGTCCTTGGATCGAACGAGGGCCCTCGATGAGAAGGCAGCGAATGCTCAATGTCGCCGAACCTGTCCCTCTGCATGTTGTTTAGGTATATTACAGACAAGCTCTTCGAGGGCCGCCTGTGTTTCTCCCCCCTATCCTCCCCAACCGGACCTCATCCCCAGTCGTAGCGAAAGGCGTCTGGTCTGAACCTAATGTAAAGCTGTTACTACGCAGCTTAGAGTAGGCTAGGACTGAACCGTTGCGTGTTAAGTATGTAACCTATCCCCGATTGGGTACCGAGCTTTTGGTCCCTAGTCATTTCACGAAAGTGTCGGAAGCAAAACCATGAGCCAGTGTAATAGAAAAGAAGGAGATATGTAATGTAAGCAGTTGTGTGAATGACTATCTAATAGTTGATACACAGTTGAGTTAATATTACAGAGTTGGCTATCTACTACTAAGGCCCAAACATTAGCTCTGAAGATTCGTCACGTATTCGTACAATCATTAGAAGTCAGACAGAATCGCTAACCCCAAAGACAACCATGTGGATGCACCTGTCCAATCATTATTCCAAACACCTTCAGTTGCCATGCAGCGCCTCCTCGTCACTCCTCCTGGCCGCCCTCTCGCCGTCACCCTCCGACTCCCTCTCGGCACCACCACCCGGCTTTTTGACATCCGAATGCTTCGCCGGATCGAAAACGTAAATAGGGAACTCCAGAAAGATAGTGCGCTTTGGGAAGGTCGGCATCTTCTCATAAAACGTCGGCGGAAACGGAAACAAGATGCTCGTGCGGTCCAAATACCGCTTATACTCATCCCACCGATCGCCCTTCTCATACCGCTTCTTCGCACCCGGCCTCTCCTGCAGCGTCAACCCCGACACGAACATCAACAGCGTCGTCAGAAAGCACGCGCCAAGGATCGACGCATACAGCGCCTTGCGGGCGCCACCGTGCACGTAACCACTCGCAGCCGGCGCGACTGCGACGGTGAAGATGGAGAACTGCACGAGCATCTCGCCGAAGTAGTTGGGGTGCCGCGTGTAGCGGAAGAAGCCGACGTCGCAGACGGGCGAGCCGGGCTCGCGGCCGTGACACGCCTTGAAGCGGTACTTCTGCACGTCCGAGACGGACTCCATGACGAAGCCGAGGGCGAAGAGGATGACGCCGGCGACGTCGCAGCCCGTGGTGCCGAAGGCGGGCTGCGGGTAGCGCGTCACGGCGGGCGAGTTGAGGATGGTGACGGGGAGGGAGACGGTCCAGACCCAGCTGCGAGGAACGATGTCAGCGGGCGGCTGCAGCTAGTGCTTGAGTGGGTGGCTTACAGCATCTGGAAAACCCAGAAACCCAGGAAGGGGAAGAATTTGTCCCGCTTGTCGTCGAAGCGGTCGTCCTTGCCGGTTTTCAGGATGCGGAAGAGCAGGAAGCCGGAGAGGCGAGCCCCCCACAGCATGATGAAGACGGAGCAGACAATCTGGCGGGCATGGTCACGGTCGCCGCTGAAGGCGAGGGTGATGATGGCGAGGAGGACGAAATTGGTGCCGCCGGCGAAGTCGGTGAGCTTGTCGAACTTGAGCGAGTAGGCTATGGAGAAGAAAAAGAGCTGGTAGGCGACGGTGATGAGGAGGGTGATGGCGAGGTAGTAGTCGTCCAGCACGTGCACGGCGCCGGCCATGGTGGAGGAGGTGGAAGCGGTGTCGGCAGGGGTTGCGGTACTGCCCTGTCACCCTGTCTCGAGGTGCCGGTGTATAAGTACAAGGGCTAAGGGGCCGGGACGGTGCATTAGGCCGCTGGCGGACAATAAACAGGCCGACATGACGCTATCACCTGTCAAAGAGAGCAAAGGAAGGCGCCAAGGCGACGGTATTAGCAGGAGCATTTGGGCTGGGCATCGTCGGGGACCGGGCCCGTGCGGATCGACGTCATGGGGCCAAAGGGCTCGACTCGGCTCGGCTCCCGCAACTGCATCCGCCATCCCCTGCCATCACCAAGTGCTGACTGACTGACGGACTGACGGACTGCTGCAGGCCGTGGCGATTCCCGTCGCGAGGTGAGCGATGCGAGCGCCCAGACGCAGGCGGCGGCGCTGCTGAGACGCGTGCGGTTCTCGCTACGACTCCTCGACGCGCATCGTCGCAGCCTGTCGCCCGCCCAGCCTGGCCCGACCCTTATGCGACTGGCCCATCCCCCACAAGATGCGCCCACTGGCTGCTTTCCCCGCCAAGCTCAAGCGGCTGACGCCCGGGCCGCTGCTTAGCACCGTTGCGTCCCGGTGCCTGGGCCCTCGCCCATCCTGAGACCCATCTGCTGCTGCGGTGGGGCCGCTCATGTCCAGTCTATCGAGCTTCCTACATGTTGCTGCCCTCCCTATTGTTCTGTTTGCACCGCCTGGATCTCCCTACTCTCGCCCCTCCTTCTCAGTGCTTGCCCAGCCCTTCGTTTCCTTCCTGCCCTTGATGCATCCGTGATCCTCTGCCCTTTGCTCTTTGCCCATCCATTCCATTCTTTCCGCCAGCTGGTCTGCGCCATCGTCTTTCCTGTGGTCTTTGCTGTCTCTCGCTCACGGGCCGGTCCCATTTCCGCCATCGACTAATACACCATGCGACGTTTGAGCGAGGTCGTGACGGCCCTCGCAGTCGCTGCCGCTTTCGCCATGACTTCTGTACGACCATTCCGCCTCTAGATACAACAGCGACAGTACTGACTAGAAGCAGCACGTCTCGGCACAGGACGCCGATGCTGTTGAAAACGTCCGTCGGCCTTCCGCTCAAGTTGAGGTCGATCTACCACACAAGAAGAGGAGGCATGTCGTCGAGCTTCTCAGGAGACGCGACGCACCTGCGGATACCATGTAAGCCCCCAGGCCACCACTCACGCAAAACACGAGAGCACTGATCCCGTACAACAGAGCCGCCGTCGCCACCCCTTCCACCACCATCGCTGCCGCTACTCCCCAGGCCCTGGAAGCCGAGCCGACCTTCACCCTGTACCTCAACCAGACGGAAACGGAGACCATGTATGTCACCAAGATGGACGCCACCGAGACTCAGACCGAAGTCCAACTCGTGACCGAGACGGTCACCGAGACTATGATGGCCCAGCTCAACGCCACTCAGCAAACCGTACGACAAGTCCCCTCCTCCTCCTCCTCCACACACGCCAACAACCCTCCACCCCAACGGCGCTGGAAACCCCAGGAAGCTGAATGTTCATGTCCCCCCCACCAGGTCACCGTCGCCGCCACCTTCGAAAAGACCGTCACCGTCGCCGCCACCTTTGAGAAAACCGTCACCGTCTCCGACTGCCAGACACAAGCAGCAGCGGCAGCGCCATCACCACCACCACCCGCCGTCGTGACCACCACCACCGTGACCACCACCACCGCCGCTCCTCCCCCCGCCGAAACACCCTCCGAAGCAGCCGCCGCGTCAACCACACCCCTTTCCTTCGCCCTCGGCTCCTCCAACGGCCCCCCGCCGCCCTCGGGCCCTCCGTCGAACACTGCCGCCGCTGCGACTACGACCTCCAGCGCACAAGCCCTGGCCGACACGGCCCCGACGTCGGCTGCAGCAGCGGTGCCGCCGCCGCCGCCGCCGCCGCCGCCGCCGCCAGCGGGCGGAGGAAGCGACCCGTTTGATATTTCAACCGTGTCGTTGCAGGCGGCTGTGACGGTGGGGTTGGGGAGGAGGGACGCGCAGGCTGGCGATGGTGGCGAGAGCGATGAGAAGAGGGTGAGGAGGTGGATTGGTTGATCGTGTCGGCTGCGTGATTGACTGGTTGGTTGGGTTTGATGTTTCCCGTGGTGTATGGGTGGGCGGGCGGGGTTGGGCCGGTCGGTCGGTCGGTCGGTCGGTCGGTCGGTTCGTGCAGGGGCTTGATAGTGAGGTCGTCGTCTGTTCTTGAGTTTATGGGCGGTTCGGCGAGCGAGCGAGCGGGCGTCCTCGCCTGCTACGTTTGATGGCATTTCCCTTTTGCTCTTTTTTTGCTTGTGGTGAGTCGGTGAGAGTGTGTTGTACGAAGATGGGTGTGCGCAAGTGCTGCTGCTGCGGGTTGGAAACATTTGGTCGGGGCGACGTCAAGATTGAATGTTCGGATCGAATCGAAGTGCGCGCGCGAGTGCGCGCATGCAATGTATAACAACACAGCTGATTGAAACCCTCCCCCCCGCGTGCGAAAGGTTGGCAGTTTTTGGGTCTTGTTTTCTTTTTTGCTATATAAAATCCAAAGAAACTGAGCGAGCGACGCTACTCAACGCTTGTATTCCACAGTTCTCGATCACGAAGTTTGTGAGGTACAGGCTCATACATACCATCATTTTTGCTTCGGTCTCGGGATTGGCGCTGGAGCCGATGAGAAAAAACCCGCGCCCTAGCAGCTGAAGTGGCACTTGAGCATGATGGGGCGGAAATGGCGTTGGGGTGTTTGAAGGATGGAGTGGTCCCATTTGTGTGTCGTTCATCGTATCGCATCCTCGCGGCACACGTGCTCAGCAAATAGAGAGGGCTACAAGGCTATTTAAGCTGCCGCGCCAAGTGCCCGCTACAGGTCCTGGCATGATGGCGCATGCGTTCAGGCCAATACCGGCCAGACAGCGACCTCGACACAACGTGGCTGCACCGTCAATTACGGGATTCGGAGCCTATCATTTTCATGGTCTGTTCCTGTCTAGAACGAGTTCTTCCTCGGGCTCCCACGTAAAGAAAGAGCTGCCAACGAAAAAAAAAAAGGGGTTTACCACAATCAGCTGCTGTGCCGAAAGGGGCAGGGATTGGACCTGCTGTTAGGAAATCGCCTTGCTGAGTAGTAGGAATTGGACCTACTGGCAGTCGACCCCTAGGATAATTACAAACAAGCAGAACAGAATGTAGCATTACCCAAGTGATTCGACCTGTTGAAGTGTAGGAATTGGACCTACTGACAGGGATTCGACGTGTGGGTAGCAAAAAGCAAAGCATTTCCCTCCAACGCACGAGGGGGACCAAGCCAGTATGTGTGAGCATTTCCCTCCAACGCACAAGGGGGACCAAGCCAGTATGTGGTAAGTGAAGCAGAGCAGAAGAAAGCAGAGCAGAAGAGAGCAGAACAGAACAGAGCAAAGCAAAACAAAACAAAGCAAAACAAAACAAAGCAAAACAAAACAAAGCAAAACAAAACAAAGCAAAACAGAACAGAGCAGAAAAGACCAAGCAACGCTCAGGGTGAAGGTGCAACCAGGGTGGTGGAAAAAACATGACCAGCAAGACGAAGAGGTAACCACTAAGGGCCGTCATCACTCCGCCTGCATGGCCGATCTATCCTACTCGCCCGGCGACCCCTCACTCCATCTCCACATCCCCGTCTTCGTCCCTCCTCGTCACCGGCTTGAGCCAACTCTTGTCAAATGCCTCAACCTCGTCCATCAGAGCCCCCCGCCACTTCTCCTCCCTCAGGCAGGGAATGAACTTGACACGCGGGGTAGGGTCGAACCGGAGAGCCCTCTTGGGGCCCATGTTGACTTGAAGGCGGGTCGACCACTTCTTGGCGGCTTCCTCCACGGCCGGAGGCACGATGTCGTCGGCCCACTCGGGGGGGTTGAAGTGCGAGCTGCGCGTCGGGCGGAGGATCGACTTCGGGAGGGGGCTGAACTCGTGCAACTCGACCGAACTCGAGAAGGCGACACGGCTCTTTCGGGCGGGCGTCGAGGGGCGGCGGCCGGGCGTCTTCAGGATGCCGCTTCCGGTCATGAACGGCGTCGGAGGGGCGGTGTCGCGCGTGGGCTTGGCGGGCGGCGACGGAGGGGCAGGACGCGAAGAGGGAGACGACGGAGGCGACGGAGGCTCGGTGCGGGTGCGGTACCTGGTGACGTGAAGAGGGACCAGTTCAAGCGGCGCGCAAGGCGAGAACAGGCGGGACTTGACCTCGTCCGTGAGGTACCTGGCGAACGACACACCGGCGTTAGCCAAGACGGAGCGAAGGAACCTTACCAGGCCTAGGCCGAAAGCCATGGCGATAAGGAGGAAGATGGTGTGCGCGGGGGAAGAGAGTGAGGGAGGACGGCGGGTGATGAGAGGAAGGTAGACGGTTGAGGTGACCGCCAGGAGGAGCGGGAGGAAGGTGATCGGGAACATGGCGAAGGCCACGGCAAGGGAACGGAGAGAAGATGGAGAGGGAAGGCGGAGAGAAGATGGGAGTGTGGGTGCGAAGAGCGTATGCAGGTGGAGAGTGGGAAGTGAGCAGAGTGTTGGAAGGCAGGGCAGGTGTGAGCGCAAAGGTGACCAGCTGGTACGGAGAGGAAAAAGGTTGGAGGAGGTGGGGGGGATACGCGATATTTATGTATGTCATCCAGCCGTTGCTACGGTGATGCGTTTCATGAGGCAACCGGCCGGAGACGAGGAAGTCGCGAGGTTATGGAAGGCGCGACGGGTGCTGTGCACTGCGTGAGGGCAAGCAGTGACTGACCAGCGACTTGCAGCGCCACGGACCATATCCACAAACAACAAGTAAGCTTGAGTCGCCTATTTTACTGCCGCTAAGGATGTGCAACACACCGCATAGTTTGCGATGTTGAAGTGAGCATGGTGTTGCGGCTCTGCGCCCAGCGGCCCGCCCCGCCGGCTACGATGGCCGCCCCGCCCCCACAACAGCCCTTTCGCATGATCCACGGACGCCTTTCTTCGATAAGACAGAAGGTGCTCTGGATAGCGTTTCACGGACAGGCTGCCTGGGTTCCTGTGTTGACGCTCCGTTCGCTGGGCCAAGGCATTGTCTACCACCACCCCCGCATAATCTAAGGATAGCGTGGGCTGACTATCCATGGCCGGTATTCGAGCCGCAAGTCGTTTCCTCCGTATAAGTGTATCCATCTTCGTGCCGCGTTCGTGCCGCAGAGTCGAATTTCAACCTCTCTTCAGCACCCAAGCTCTTCACCAGTGATAAGCCCTACTCTCGGATCAGAAGATGATAACAGAGACTTGGGCGCATGCAGCTACACTTAAGGCAAGACCTTTTCCGGCAAACCACTCTGCTGCGACTCCATACATGAAATTTTTGTGGGCCAGCTGACATTCCAGAACAGATCGTGAGCCTTCTATAATTGAGCAGAGCTAAAATCTATAGTCTAATATACGAGGAGAAAGGCAAATTAGGCCTTCTCAGCTTCCTGCTCAGCTTTCTTGGCTTCGACATTCTGCTTTTCCGCAGCAGACTCGTCGGCCTTTGCCTGAACCTGTTGCTTTTCCTCGGCCTCGGCCTCCTCCTTCTCGTCGATATCTTTGTCATCTTTCGGTGTCGACGAGGCAGTCGCCTCACCAGTGCTGCCCGATTGCTCGCTCTCCTCCTCGATAAGCTCCTGCTGCTCCTTCAGGACCTCAAGGCGCTGCTTGTTGGTCGCAGCACCTTCGGCCGTGTGTACCTCAAGCTCGATCTCGTGGAACAACTCCTCGGGAATGCTGGAGAGGACGGCCTTCAAAGCATCGATCTGAGTCTCCATCTCCGTCTCCTTGCCTTGGCCATACATGAAAGCGTTGCTCAAGACGAGAAGTGTTGACGGCACACCGTACTTGAGACGGAGATTCAACCACATCTGAAGATCCTCCCGAAGGCGAGCCGGACTGACGCCGTGAGTCCGAAGACCACGGCTGCCGCAAGCATTCTGGAGTTCGGGGACAGAGAGGGACTCGACGCCTTCGATGAAAATCATCTTGTCATCACGCTTGATCTGGCGCATACGGTGGCGGACTTGGTAGCGGAGAATGTTGTCGGTGCCAAAGGTGTTCAGACCCAGGTATTTGCAGATTCCAACAAGCTGAGGGCGAGACAAGTTGTCCAGAGTCAGGTCATCCTTGAAGATCTTGCAGACCTTGATAACATCGGCTTGGGTGGGATCCTCGCCGGTGCTGCGAATCTATTGGAATGTAAGCCATTGCCCCCCAGAACCCAGCCTTTGGGCAAACTCACCTTGCGGAAAAATTGGGTGAACTCCTCGCGCTGAGCATTTGCAGCGCTGACGGGTAAACCGCCTTCCTGTAGTGTGTGGCGGAGGAAGTCGCTGACTTCCTTCCGGGTCGCGCGCATGCTGGTGATCTTGTTGTCTTTGGCTTTCTGGCCCTCGTATGTGCTCGGAAGCATGTTGGGGAACAACTTCATCGCAACAGGCAGGAGGAGCTCAGCAAATGGGACAAGGACGAAAACAGAGAAGGGTACGAGGCGACCAAGGTCCTGGACAGTACGGCGAAGCTGTGCGCGATTTAGCAGATGCAATTTGTTTCAGGGCGTGTAGTTGGAGCATACCTGTCTGTTTTCGCGGCGGGTTAGTTCGTAGCCCGCCGCCATTTTCAAAGCCAGCTTGGTGCTGATCTTGACCTCAGTTCCGAGCAGCTTGGTGCCATCCCAGTAGTGATTGGCCTCCTTCTTGACTTTTTGCCACAGAGTGAGGTTCTTGTGCTCCTCAATCTTCTTGGCGAGCTTCTTTTGCTCTATTTTGTCTGCTGTCGCCTGCTCCGCAGCAAGCTCGATCAAGCTTTCTGCCTCGGCGGCATCAGTCTTGGGGTGTGCAGTGGGGCTGTCTCTCGGTATTTCAACCTTGATGGAGTCCTTGTCGGCTTGCGACTTCAGCGCGGACTGCGACTTTTGCTGGTCTTCCTTGGGAAGGGGCTTCTTCGCCTCCTGGGCGTTGAAACCGGGCGGAGGGAAGTTGCCGCCCGACTGGGAGGATGTGGAGGTGTCTGTGGCATAGCGCTGTCTGGAGACGAGGGCGGCGATCGCTGATATGTCGTGGGGGAACAATCTGGGGTTTCTGCGCGGAGTTCTGACAGCGTTTCTCAGGAGGATTGGCGTCACCATGGAGGCGGAGCGGTTGAACGACATGCTGAGCGCAGCTCAGGCGGGAAGGGAGCGACAGGCGGCGACAAGGAAGCAGTCGACCAGAAACGGGCGATGGATGCTGGGCGCGGCGGAGATGGAGAGGGAGAATGCGACGTGAAGGAGGATGATGCTTCAACGTTTGCAGTTGGCAGCGGCAGCTAAGCAGCAAATTCCGGCCGCCAGCGAGGATCAGCGGCAGGGGAAGCGGGGCCTTGGCGGCTTCGTCACGCTTCTGGAACCCGCACGCCGCAGCACGCCGCAGCCCCCGAGCGCCGAACTCTGCCCCGAGCGCGACGCCGCGCCGAATCGCGCTGCTGTGCTGCGCACACGGGGCCGGGGACAGCGTGGCCCAAGGGTCCGCCGCTGCTGGCCGCAGACACGTGCGCCCGCCGGGCGATGTCGGAGTTGCGCGACCCATCGGCCAGCCTGCCCTGCCTGCCCAGCCGCCGGCGCTGCTGCGCTGGATGCGCTGGCCCTTTGTGCCTGCCTCCTGATAAATGGAGCCGTCTGGCCGGCCGCTGCTCCGGTGCTCTCGTCGTCCATTTCGCGGTTTGTTGCTTGCGGTCTGCTTGCGCAGCACCCCTTCCGGTTGGCCAGGGCCTGTTCGCATTATTACTGGCGCGGCCAAGGCTTGTGCGATGCTGGCTGCACACCTCCGTCCGCGCTGGCCCTTCACATGCGACCGACTCGGCTGTTGCCATGTTGGACTCGCAGCCTCGTTGCAGAGGAAAGGCGTGAGGGTGTCAATGGCACGGCGGTGATTCGAGGATGCATGACTCGCCGGGAACCCTCGGCTGAGCTCAACGCTTTCCCCCACCCCAAAGTCCGCCGCCGACGGCTTACGCGATTGACTTTAGCTTGCCTGCCTTTCGTGCGCCCAGCTCCTCCATCCTTTCCGGGTTTCCATTTCTATTTCCTGTTTATCGGCTGCCTCGGACGCTATGGTGTTCTGACCCGTTCCTGTGTGCTCTCTCTTTTCTAATAACATACCCTCTCAACGCCTTTGCTTTTCGCAGCACGGCCGCCGCAGTCAATCGCCACACAATCTGTAATTACACCCTCACGTCACTCCGCAGCACTCTCTTCGCGATGATTCGGGACCTATCGCGAGCTGCGCGCGTCATTCTTGTCGGCGCCCCCGGCGTGGGCAAAGGCACGCAATCAGAGCGTCTCATGAAGCGCTTCCCCCAGCTAAGTTCCATCAGTTCCGGCGACCTTCTGCGCAACAATGTGCGCAACCGCACACCCCTGGGTAGGTCGCCCGCAACCCAATAAGACGCCGCCGGCACCTCTAATGCGAATCGCGCTGCAGGAATCCAGGCCGAGATGAAGATGAAGACGGGCGCGCTGGTCCCAGACGCGATGATGGTGCGCCTGATAATCAACGAGCTCAATACCCGTGGTTGGCTTGTTCCGGACACCGTAAGGCCGTACCAGGTCAACTTCGCCTCGCCCGATGCAGAGATCCCGCTGGAGAGCGTGGATGATGTCTTCATCCCCTCGCCGTTCAATACCTCCAAGTTCAGCTATTCTGACGCTCCCTCGGCCTCCTTCATCCTCGACGGATTCCCGCGCACCGCCGCGCAGGCGAAGCAAATCGACGACATAATCCCCATCAACTTGGTCGTCAACTTCAAGACCCCAGTGGAAGTAATTCTTGACCGCATCTGCAACCGATGGGTCCACGAGCCCTCGGGGCGGGTCTACAACACCACGTTCAACCCGCCCAAGGTGCCCGGTCAGGACGATGTCACTGGCGAGCAACTGACCAGGCGCGCAGACGATAGCCCCGAGGTCTGGCTTTCGCGACTAAAGAAGTTCGAGGAGACCAGCGCTCCCCTCCTCGAGCATTACGATAAGAAGGCCGTTCTTTGGGAAGTGCAGGGCAACTCCAGCGATGAGATCAGCCCCAAGCTATTCAAGGAGTTTGAAAGGAAGTTCGGGCTGTAGGCGCAAGAAGAGTCAAAGCCCGGATGAATCAATCTGTTCAGAGGCAAATGTAACATATGGAAGCTTGGAGTTTTGGCGTTAGGGTACCTGCCGCCGTCATACGCGCTGGCTTTGCTCATAGCATCGGTCGTTTCCGAATTCCTGAGGAAGCTCAATGAGCTTGTATAGCAATTCACCTTTCCCAACAACAATTCACAATCATACGAGAAACATGGCAGTGACTTATCTGCTGTTCTTATCGGCACGGCTCGATTACGCAGTTTGGCAAACGGAGCGGCGATGAGAAACGCCAGGGCCAAGCATAGCTGGGTTGAGGCGTGAGAGCAGACCTACCTAGGTATACTACAATACTGCGCCGGAGAGCCGGGTCCGATGCTCGCGTCCGTCGCCTGCCCGGCGGGCTTTGGCGGCCGCTCTCTCCGCCGCCAGTGAACTTCGTCATCGCCCAAGCACGGACACCAACCTCATAACACGCCCGCCCTGGATCTGCAGTTGTCCAGCTCCAGAGCCCAACGCCCCCGCTGCAACGCCCGCTTCCCGTCCATCTTCAAAAAAATATTCCCCAGCCGATCTCGCCATGGCGGACACGGACTTCAGCGAAGGCATGCTCGAGTGCACCGTGGATAAGCCCCAGAAAGAGAACGACGGCACCAAGGATGCCTACATATCTTACCTTGTTACGACTAGGGTACAGAGTCCCGTTACCGTTGCGAAGCTGCCTGACGGAAGACAGAATGCTGACTGGCTCTCTCCGCCCTACCACAGAGCGATTTCCAGTCCTTCCAGCGGCCCGAGTTCACGGCGCGGCGACGCTTCACAGACTTTGTCTTCCTGTGGAAAACACTGAGCAAAGAGTATCCGCAATGCGCCGTGCCGCCGCTACCCGACAAGCACAAGATGGAGTACGTGAGGGGAGACCGTTTCGGCCCGGACTTTACGCAACGGCGAGCGAGCTCACTGCGTCGCTTTCTCAAGCGCTTGACGCAGCACCCGGTGCTCCGCCGCTCCGCCATCTTCCTGCTGTTCCTTGAGAGCAGCGATTGGAACCAGACAATGCGCTCGCGACCTCAGCGTAGTATGAGCGGGACCAACGCAGAGCAAGCCTCAGGCGGCGTGTTCGACAGCTTCACAGACACGCTTATGGGTGCATTCAGCAAGGTGCACAAGCCGGACAAGCGCTTTGTGGACGTGCGCGAGCGGGCAGACAAGCTGGACGAGGACTTGGGACTGGTGGAGAAGGTGGTGACGCGCGTGGCCAGGCGACAGGGCGATCTCTCGGCCGACTACGGCGACCTCGCGGCGCAATGCCAGAAGCTAGTCGCGCTGGAAGCTGGCGTCGAGCAGTCGCTCACCAGCTTCGCGACCAGCGTTGAGACAACGAGCCAGGGCTTGCGCGGTCTTCACAACCACACCGAACACGACTACCTGGGTTCTCTCCGCGACATGGATGCCTACATCGACGCGGTCAAGTTACTCCTCAAGACACGCGAGAACAAGCAACTGGACTTCGAAAGCCTGACCGACTACCTGACCAAGGCCGCGGCGGACCGTGACACGCTTGCCAGTGCCTCCAGCACGGCTGCGCTCGGCGCGTCCGGATTCCTGCGTGCCAAGGTGGAGGACATTCGTGGGGTGGACCATGAGCAGAGCCGGCGTGACCGCGTGCGCAAGCTCGAGTTGCAAATAGAGCGTCTGACGCGCGAAGTGGAGGATGCAAAGAGGACGTCTGAAGCCTTCGACGAGCAGACGGTCAAGGAAATCCAGGACTTTGAGCGGATCAAATCGCTGGAGTTCAAGGACACCCTGGGAGACCTGACGGACGCCCACATCAACTTCTTCGCCAACACGGTAGAGACGTGGGAAGTGTTCCTCGAGCAGATGGAACGGGAACAGAGAGATCAGGCCGAAGCGCAGGCTACCGCGGCTTAGAGCGAGGCCAGGCGTGAAGGAAGGCTTGGTGTGGAATGGCGTTGGAAAGGGGACATTCTCTTCTTGATGGATACCGAGTTGCTATGGATATATCGACCCAGGCACTTAGACAGGCTGGCAGCGTCGAGCTTCGCAGCATTGATTGGAGTAATCAGTTACCGTGTATGCTTGCACAATGTAATGCTTTCAAAAAACTTGCGCAGGAATGGATCAAGGTGGCAAGCACGGCTATGTTCATGGGACTCAATCTTGCCGGTCTCCCGCAGGCACCAATCCAACTTGCATCGTTTCAGGAAGGTGGGTTGAGGAGGAACTCTTGGATGAAGTGGTTCAGAAGACTGGACGTAAGCAAAGCTGGTTTGCTGGACTCTACTACTGATGGAATTGGGCGAGCCGGAAGCGTGCTGGTCGACGACGGCGGCATTGGAGACAGGTCTAGGGTGGGTGGCATGACGTGCACGGAGCTGGGCGGAGCTGGGCGGAGCAGGGCAGAGGCTCGCACTGGGCGTCTGGTGACCCCTGGGGATGGCTGGCCGGGGTTGGCTGAGCGGGGTTGGCGGCCCCAAGCTCCCGGCTTAGCGCGACACGACGGGCCTGGGAAGCTGCAAGGACATGTAAGCTGCAGCTGCTGCAGCTACCCCCGAGCTCCTGCCCTCTCCACCGCTGTCCAGAAGCTTCCCAACCATCTCACCATGGGCGGCGAAACACAACTCCCCTCCAGAATGGCCCCCTCCAAGGAGTACCCCAAGCTTGCCGCCGGCCCCGTCGGCAAGCAGATCCATAAGATCTACCTCGATCGCTTGCGTCAGTTCACCTCTGGCGGCCAGTACGAGTCCACGGGCCTTCTGCCGTGAGTTTCCAATTGCGCCTTCCCCGTGTGCTCCAATCCATGTACCTGCTCATGCCACTACAGGAAGATCACCGAAGCCCGCGCTTCCGGCAACGACCATGTCAAGCTGTTCGTCTACTCGCCTCCCGACCTCACCCGTCCCACCTTCAAGGAAGCCACGAGGCACGAATTCCGGCCTACCCACGTCGGCGAGTCTTTTGGTCCCAGCTGGGCAACCCATTGGTTCCGCATTCACCTGACCGTGCCCGACGAGCTCCGCCACAAGAACCATCTCGAATTCCATTGGGACGCCAACAACGAGGGCCTTATCTGGACCGAGGACGGCGATCCGGTGCATGGTCTGACCGGTGGTGGCGAACGTACCGAGTGGATATTGCCCCACAGCTATAGGGACGGCAAAGAACATGTCTTCTATATCGAGATGGCCTGCAACGGCATGTTCGGCAATGCCCCCGGCGGTGACTCCATCCAGCCGCCCAATCCGAACAAGTATTTCCAGCTGCACAAGGCCGACATTGCAGCCATCAACCTGGACGCCCGGGCTCTGTACATTGACTTCTGGATCATTGGAGACTGCGCGAGAGAGTTCCCTGGAGACTCCTGGGAGTCCCATCAGGCGCTTCAGGTATGCAACTCGATCATGGACACTTTCATTGCCGGCCACGGCAGCAACGACTCCATCAAAGAGGGTCGCAAGATAGCGAAGAAGTATCTGGGAGACAAGGTCGATTCGGCCGCCGTGTATGATGGTCCTCAGGAGGCCATTATAAGTGGCATTGGCCACTGCCACATTGACACCTGCTGGCTCTGGCCATGGGCCGAGACTAAGCGAAAGGTTGCCCGCTCATGGTCCAACCAGTGCGACTTGATGGACCGCTATCCCGAACTGCGCTTCTGCTGCTCTCAGGCTCAGCAGTACAAATGGCTTGAGCAGCTGTACCCTTCGGTCTATGACCGCGTGAAACAGAAGGTCAAGGAGGGGAGGTTCCAGCCCATCGGCGGTAGCTGGGTAGAGCACGACACGAACATGCCTAGTGGAGAGTCGCTAGTGCGCCAGTTCGTGTACGGTCAGCGCTTCTTCGAGAGCCACTTTGGTCAGAGATGCAAGACCTTCTGGCTACCCGATACCTTTGGCTACAGCACCCAACTCCCCCAGCTATGTAGACTGGCAGGTATGAGCAGATTCTTTACCCAGAAACTCAGCTGGAACAACATCAACAACTTCCCCCATACCACTTTCAACTGGGTGTCGCTGGATGGTAGTCAAGTCATCTGCCATATGACTCCGGCGGAGACTTACACAGCAGAGGCTCACTTCGGGGATGTCAAGCGGAGTGTGACCCAGCACAAGTCTTTGGATCAAGACGCAACTTCTCTCCTCGTCTTCGGTAAGGGTGACGGCGGTGGTGGCCCGACCTGGGAGCACGTCGAGAAGTTGAGGCGTTGCCGCGGCGTCAGCGATAACGTTGGCCTTCTTCCCCGAGTCAAGCTGGGTGATTCGGTGGATGACTTCTTCGCAAAGCTCGAGAAGAAGGCCGAAGAGGGCACTGACTTCGTAACATGGTATGGTGAGCTGTACTTTGAGCTGCATCGAGGGACCTACACGACCCAGGCGAACAACAAACGCAACAACCGCAAATCGGAAATCCTTCTACACGACATTGAGTACTTTGCAACTCTTGCGAGCATTAAGGACCTTGTTCAGGGTGGGCAGTCGACGTATAAATATCCCAAGGAGGCCATCGATGATATGTGGGAGTCGACTCTGCTCTGCCAGTTCCACGATTGTTTACCTGGCAGCTCCATCGAAATGTGTTACGATGATTCGGATGAGGTATTCTCATATACACCCCTACTGTTTCGATTGCTAACATAAGTCCAGCTTTATGAGAAGGTCTTCCAAACCGGCGAGAAGCTCCTGTCAGATGCCCTGTACGCGCTTGGATTTGACGAAAAGCCCAGTTCCAGTAGCAAGATGGTCGGTTTGAACACTCTGCCTTGGGACCGCAGCGAGATTGTTAAGCTCTCCGAGATCTCGCATGGTCAAGCTGAAGGCGCCACTGGTATCCTCCACATCAAGCCTGTCTCGACGGAGTCGATGGTCTCTATCAAGGAGATCAGAAAGGATGTCTATCAGCTTGCCAACAGCCAATACAAGGTTGAGATTGACCAGGGTGTCATCACCTCCCTCTTCGATCGCCAGGCTAAGCGCGAGATCATCCCATCCGGCAAGAAGGCAAACCAACTGGTTATTTTTGACGACAAGCCACTCTACTGGCAGGCTTGGGATGTTGAGGTCTACCACCTTGAATCTCGCCAGGAGCTCAAGCCGAGCCAATGGTCAATCTCCGAGGACGGACCTCACCGCGCGAGTGTGGTCATTGAGACAAGGATCAGCGACAGGAGTTGGGTCAAGACTACCGTCAGCCTCTCGGCTACCGTGGACGATCAGCCCTCGTATGTTGAAATGGAGAGTGAAGTCGAGTGGCATGAGTCGATGAAATTTTTGAAGGTGGAGTTCCCAGTGGATATTGTCAGCCAAGAAGCATCATATGAGACCCAGTTCGGTATCGTCCGCCGGCCGACGCACTACAACACGACTTGGGACATGGCCAAGTTTGAAGTCTGTTGCCACAAGTGGGCCGATTTGTCCGAAGCCGGCTACGGTGTCTCCATCCTGAACGACTCCAAGTACGGCTTCGCCACTTGCGGCAACCTCATGCGCCTGTCCCTCCTCCGCGCACCGAAGGCACCGGACGCACACGCGGACATGGGATCCCACCGCATCCGCTACGCCATCTTGCCCCACTCTGGCCCCGTCGGCGCAAAGACGGTCAAGACCGCGTTCAACTTCAACCATCCGGTCAAGTTCCGAGCGCACTCCAACCCATCTAATGTCGAGGGCTTGCTATCGACGTTCAAGATCGTAGGCTCCGACGCCCTCATCTTGGATACGGTCAAGCGCGGCGAGGACGATGACGACGTCTCGCGTGGCGAGCTGCCGAAGCGCACGGGTAGGAGCGTCATCCTGCGCGTGTACGACTCACTTGGCGGTAGGGCGAGAGGTAGAATCGAGTGGGGCAAGGTTCCTGTCAAGAAAGTGTTCAAGACGAACTTGCTCGAGGATGACGGGGAGGAGTTGGATGTAGACAATGGTGGCGTGGAGGTCGAGTTGAGGGCGTTTGAGGTGGCGACGTTCAGGTTGCAGTTGTAAGGAAGTAGTGGCGTGGTCTCCATTTCCTTTTTTTTTCTTGAAAAATAAAAGGAGAAATCTAGTCATGTGCGTTGACGTCTAGCTGATGAGTGCTATGTCGTTGGTTTAAGGATTTTCTTTCTGCTTGAGCTCTGAAATGAATCGAGTAAATGAGAATGATAGAGTGAACTAAACCAAGTGACCTCAATAGACTGAGGCATGCGAAGCACTGTCTTACCTTGTTTGGCTTTTAGAAACTTCCATCAAGGCTAAATAATACCATATGTAGAATAGCTTTGCCGACGGACCTAGTGGTATGCACCCTACTTGTGGGGGAAATTGGCTGTGTTCGTAGGGTACCCGTCTCAACTTCAGCCGGATGCCATGATCGATCGTAGAGAATAATCCCCTTCCATGTCGTGCTGACGACATCAATCCCTCAAATAAGTACTCCAGGCACATAATGCATGCAGATACAAATTTTAGGCAAAGGATGCTTATTTGAGAAAGTAATTGTGAGCCTGGCGCCCTTGTTGACGTAACGTTTCACCCGTTTGTTGACCACTTTGAGAAAGGGATAGATTGCCTCGTCGGCCACTGCACCACGCTCGATGAAATTCTCGGTACTTTTGCTATCCTACGCCGAACCCCATAACAATGCACGTGCGGAAAAATACTGCCTGCTTCAAGCTTTCTTTCCTCCTTGAGCCTTCCATGCCGCGCCTCTCTTGCTACTTCTCGACGCCGGCTTCCCGCTCTTCTTGCCCTTCTTTCCGCCTAGCTTCAACCCGGTCTTGCCTTGCTTCTCGGTTGCGCGATGGCCCTCGAAGACGAACTGTTCGGGGGTCTTGAAGCCGTTGGCGGGTTTATCCTCCTTCTTGAAGTCCCGGGCCCCCCCAGGTTTGCCAGCGGATTTGATCTTGGCAGCACCGGCCTTTCCGAGGAGCTTGGCCGCACGGCCCTGCATGGACCTCTCCTCAGCAGAGACCTTGGGGTTGTACACGCCCTTGGTCGAGACAGGGCGAGTCGAGGTTGCCGAGTTGGTCTTGTTGCGCTTCATGCCCTTGGCGCGCACGACCCGGAGCTTGCGCGGGAGCATGGGCGGGAACCTCTTGTCGTTGTACAGCAGAGCTGCCTCCACGGCGTTTTCGTCCTGAGGAGCTGTCAGTCGGATACGATCTAACAAAATGTCGCGTTTCCGTATGGAATCTCACCGTAAATTGCACATAGGCAAAACCCTTTCCAACCCTGGTCTTGGGGTCACGGATGACCCTAACACTCTCAACGGTGCCGGCTTTGCCGAAGGTCCTCCACAGACCCTCTTCTACATCACCAGGCTCCTTCTTCTTCCTGACTTCCTTCCCTAAACGCTTCGCCTCAGCCTCTTGGATCATGCTCTCGTCGTCGACGAAGCTGAGGTTTCCGACGAAAACGCAGCGGTGGTGGTCGGTCTTGGCGGGGTGAGCAACCTCGTCGACACGCAGGTGGCGATTCAGCACCACAGTGCCATTCAAACGCCTTGCAGCCTCCCTCGCAGCCTGATTCGTGGTGTAGACGACGTAGGCGTTTGTGCTGTGCGCCGTCTCGTCCATGACTTCCTTGGTGGCATACGCGGCCTTTTTGGGGATGAACGTCGAAAAGGGCGTGGAGCGGAAGCGGATCGAATCAAACTTGTGCGGAGGCTTATGCTCCGGGAGGTCGGATAGGAAAGAGGACATGTGCTTGATCAACGTCTTCTTCGCCGACTTGTCCGAGATGGCGTTGATCGAAACGTTTCCGAGGAACACGGTGCGGGAAGCTTTTTCCAACTCGGTTTCGGCCTTGGGTTGCGAAGCCTGAGTCTCGTGCTGGGGTATCTCGGAGTCGGATTCAGCGTCTGAGTCCGAAGCGGCATCCTCGTCTCCACCGTCGTCAGAGAGCACCTCCTCATCAGACGACGCGGCCTCGCCGTCCTCCTTCCTTTGGCGCTTGGTACTCCTCTCTGCTTCCCTCTTGGCCTCTTCCTTGGCCTCTTCTTTCTCGAGCTTGCGCATGTATACGTCCTCCAGCTCGTCTACGTCGCCCTTGCGCTTGCGCTTGCGCTGCGACTTCTCGCCTTGGGCGGCAGCTACGCTTTCGTGGACAGGGATTGTGGCATCCTCGCCAGAACTGGCGTCCTCTGCAGGGCGCATCACCGTATCGCCGTCCTCGTCCTCATCGTCCTCCTCATCGCTGTCCTCCGGAAGTTCCTCGTCAATGCTGGAGAGGTCCTCGTCGTCCTCGTCCACTGCGTCGTCGTCGTCGTCTTGGTCATCGTCTTCGGCTTCCGGCGCAGTTTTCGGCGGCGCTTTTTGATAGGCCTCCTTGGGGCGCGGCTTCGCGGGACCGACCTGGAAAACACCATGAGAATGTAGCTATGAGGGTGTACAGAAGTTCTGAAGCTTACACTGGTCGCGAAGAGCGAGGCCAGGGTCGGGTCAATGGCCTTCTTGCTGGCGGTAAGCTTTAACGAGGCGTCAGAGGCGGCCGGCGCCGCAGCAGGCTTCTTGCTCCTGTCCTTGGCCATGGTGGGAGTTGTTTTTTTATTTTTTTAATTGTCGCTGGGCAGGCGCGAGAAAGAAACGCGGGCTGGGATCGGCGTTTCGACATTTTCTATCGCCGACGCGAACGCTAGCGGGCTTTCGGGCGGGCGTGTGCCCTGGACGGCTCCAGTGCAGAGCTGCGAGACGAGAGATCACCCGCCAAAACACTCCTCCCCACGCCCACCAGCCCAGAGCTTCCGGTGCCCACCCGCTCAGCCCGCCCTCCGCCCTTCTGTGCCGCCTTCTCCCCCCGCGACCGCTCCATCTCGACCGCGGACCCCAGCTCGCCGCCTCCCTCACGCCCGCACTGCTCCCGCGCGGCCGATCGTGCATTTCACCCGCAATCGTCCAATTTCGCCCGCCCGCCCCCGAGAGCCGGCCAGAGGCTTTGCACCGCTCTACACATCGTCTGGTGGGCCACTGACGCCGGCGCACTATGCACACGCTGCACCGGAGCAGCAGGAGTAGGTCCAAGACCGCCCCAGAGACCGGCGCAGCAACCACCACGACTGGTAAGTCGCCCTCTGTTGCCCACGCCGCCCATGGCTCTGACGGCCATCGTTGTCGCGCCGTGCCAGCTGTGTGGTAGCTCCCAAGCGCCGAGATCGCCTCTGTCCCACGTATGCCCACCGTCGCGACCGCCCACACACGTCATTGAGCTCTGGGGGTCACAAGCAAAACCACTCACACACCCTCTCGCTGCTAGATACCGCCCACTCGACGCCCACGCACATTCCTGCGAAAGCTCCCACCCCCGAGCCTCTGGAGTCGCCAGAACCTGCCTCTCCTCCCCTCCCGCGCGACGTACCCCACCTGCGCAACAGCTCCACCGCCCAGGACACACCCACGGGCACCGCCCCGGTCGAAGCTCTCGCGACAATGTCTGCCGACACGAACGGGACGAACGAGCATGACAACGAGCAAAATGGGGGTATCGCTGATGTTGGCGACGAGGGCTCGAGCAGCCTCAGCGAGCCAGAGGAGAGCATCGAGGACCGCGACGAGGCCGTGTTGCGAGACGTCGCATCGCCCGCAGCCGAAGAAAACGACTCCGAGGCAGAGACGGAGCGCATTGACAGCACTCCGCGCAAATCCACGCGCACGGCGACCGACGTCACAAATGGTGCCGAAGGTCGGAGCCCCAGCAAGCTAGCGAAGGTTGCAGTAACGGCAGAACCGGAGAACCTTAGCCAGAGCCCTGCCCTCCCTACACGGCAACGCAAGGCAAACTCGGATGACGACGACCTCAGTGACGAGGACGACGAGCTTCCCGCCGAAAGCAAGCACAATGCCGAGGCCGACGCTGAGGACTCAGCCTCGCCCGAAGGTAGCGAGCGCAAGCGCAAGCGATCGAGTAGCGCTCTGTCGTCCATTGCGGACGATTTGGACAACGAACAGCCCTCTCGGAAACGCCCCAGCCCCACCCGGCCAGTCGAGCTGAACGGCGACCCTATGGACGTCGATGGCGAGGGTGAAGAGCCCGTCGCCGAGGAAAGGGGAGACCACACGCCCAAAGAGATCGAGGAACCGCTTGCTGAGGGAGACGACAACGAAGAGACCGCGCAAGAAGCGACAAATGACGTTTCCGCGGGCTCGAAGAAGTCCAAAGGGAAGAAGGGGCAACGGAAAGGCAGGAAGGGGAAGTCTCAAGATAACGACGAACATGCCGCGATGCCTCAAGAAGCTGAGGACGATGAAGCTCACGAAGCTGAGCTTGAGGGTGAGGACTCAACATTAATTGAAGAAGAGCGTAGGTATTTGGGCTTTTTTTTTTTTTTGCGAAGCAGTTACTAACGACTCGTCAGGTGGTCGGAAACACAACGCCCTTGAGGAGCTGAATAAGATTGAAAAACAATTCTTAGCCTTCCAAAAGAAGTAAGGACTCCGAGATGCTTACCATGGAACAAACGCTGACCAAGTGATTAGACGGCTGGAGGAACAGCTTGACAGGCTCTCCCTAGAGCTTGATCAGTTGAGACGACCTGATTCTACCCATCATGAATACCTCCTTATGCTACAAGCTGTCGACAAACGTCGCGATGAAAAGACTCGGCAGGAAGAAGTTCGATTAGGATTGAAAAAGGACATACTCAGAAAGCAGTACGTGGCTATGCGCAACTCGGTACATGGGCAATACATGCACGATATCGCCGAGCTTCGAATGGACACTCTGTCTGAGTGTAACAAACGGGTAACACAGCTGCAAAGAGAGAGGCGCTATTGGGGAACAAACGAGCGGGACTACAGCGTCAAGTTCACCCAAAAACGGTCGCAGCAAGTGCAGCAACAAACGGCCTACAATTTGGAAGTGTCTATCTTGTCTGGCATCGCAAAACATGTTGGCTTCCCCGCAGCACCCGACCTCGCCGCCGCGCGTGTCCCAGAAACGGACCAGGATCTGGCTGCAATGGGAGTGAGTGTCCTCGTTTGTGCATAGGCAGATCAATCAGTGGCTGAACATCTACTGCAGATACCGGTTCGTACAGCACCACCACCAGCCCGCCCAGCAGGACCTGCCGACCCATCGCATGCCGACAGAGCTGCGGCCGAGGAGCAGTTCTTCGAGCAGAATGCCTGGGCAAACCCCCAGCACCCCGCACATACCCACAACAACTACCAGGCCCCAGGGTCTCAACAGCGCGCAGTCGGCAATCCTTTCGCGACCCCAGCCGCTCAAAGAGACCGACTTGACTTGCAAGTGCCGAATGGCTCGGCATCAACAATAGACATGCAGTCGAACCCCCCATCCGGCACAGCACGAGAACCAACCTCCGCGGCACAACGTGACGCGTACGAGTCGCCAATCGTTCAGATAAAGCAAGCCGTGAACCGCACCCAAGGGAACCGTGCGCCGCCGGTCGACACGCCCGTTCGTCCGGGCTCGCATCCATCCCGCGAGGCGGCGAATCAAGCAGACTCCTCACACCACCGCGCCGCAACGGCCCGCGACATCTACGACAACCCGGGTCTGATGTCGCATTTGAGCTTCCCCCAAGGCCCCCCCGGCAGCGGCGGCGGTGGTGCACAATCGACGACGGCAGAGGGAGACGGCCCTTCGGCCATCAAGGACGAAGACGCGGGCGAGCAGCTTCAGCGCGCGGCGATAACGCAGCAGCGGACGACGGGAGTCGTGGGCGGGCTGTTTCGCTGAATGATGGATGACATGACGCGCACCCTTTCATCATTTTCTTCTCATACTCCCCTTTATCATACGCTGCCTAACGCTTGTAAAATTTACAACATCGTCAGGGAAATGGCATTAGCGTTTGGCGTTCATTCAATTTTTTTTTTCTTCTTACGTTTTCACAGTCGATTTCTTGGAGTCCATATCTTCTTCAGCGGGCAAAGTGATGGGGTTTCTTGTGTGCGTGATGCGTGAATGATGCAAGGCATATATGCAAGTGGGCGGGCGGGCGGGCGGACGGACAGGCAGGTGGGCGGCATAATCTTTTGTTTTCTTTTCTGAGAGACAGACACACTCTCTCTTTCTCTCTTCTCTCCCTGTCTGTCTCTCTGTCTCTCTCTGCTGAAACACGAAGGACCGAGGAATCTAATGGTGGCGATCAGTGGGGGAGGGGGCGTCATTTATTCATCTATTTTTTTTTTTTGAGAAACGCCGGGAAGGATTTGTGTATTTCATCCGGTTTAGCTTGGGTTTGCTTCTCCTTCTTCTTCTTCTTCTTCTCCTTTGGAGGATTAAAAAATGGAGGGGCGGTGGTATAGTGACTGGAGGGTGGACGGAGGCTGCTATTCCCCCGTTTTTCTTCTTCTCCTTCTTTCGTTGTTGCTCTCCCTCTCCCTCTCTCTCCCTCTCTCCATCTCTTCTCTTTCCCCGATGACGAAGGAAGGTTAAAGAGCTTGATGGTGACGCGTGAGATACATACAGATACACATACATACATACATGCATGGATATATACATACATACCCAGAACACGTCACCCTGTGCTAGACTGCCTTGTGTTCTTCCATTCTAGGCCGTGGTCGTGCTGTTCGCTCCTTCGTTCTTGGCGTCTTTGCGTAACTTCTACTGCGGGAATGTCTGTTATTAGCACGTCCTTAGCGAGGTAGCTCCCTCTCTCTCTCCCCTTAGATATAAGTACGTGACGTTACTCGATTTAGGAATTAAATCGGGTCTGTCATGCCATATGCAACACACACACACACATAGATATAAGCGAGGCTATCGTAGAGCCGGACTCCCTGAACATTAAAGGTACCAGAAATGGCCTCAGAGCTTGACGATAAGATATTTCTGTTCCAGACGGAATCCTTAAGACCGACCAAACGACCCTGTTGGTAAGTTTTTCTCGCTCGTCCTTTACAGATATATAAAACCAGTCAGGGTTTTGAGATGTAGTAAGCGTTTTCTTTTCATCGTTTTAGATACGCGTTCAGGAGCTTGCGCCCCGAAGAGGATGGGGAGGAGAAGATGAGGGCAAAAAAAAAAAAAAGGAAATGGGGGGAGGTGGGGTGGGAAACGGAACAGTGACTCTAATTCGTCCCAACTCTTTCTCCTCCTCCTCAATTAGAACCATACTTCGTCCCGTTTGCTCCTGTGCCAGCAGTGAAACGATATGAAACCGTGCCCCCCTCATCAACGATTGTTGGAAAAATTTCCCTCACGGGCCATTTGTCATCATTTGACACATCGACGGTTACATCGACAATTAGGGGGAGAAAAGAAAAGGAAACGATCAAACATCATCATACACACACGCTCGCATGCACGCACACTGTACTGACACACAGAAACCAACTACGCATGTGGGATAACGATGAGAAAAGAACAAAAAAGGGGAGGGGAAGAAACAGAAACAAAATCAAGGGGGGGCATAATCGTAGGAGTATACTTCAAACCCGAGGATTCACATTAAGGTGATTCCAAGGATTGTAATCGATGTTCTCTTCGGCCGAGCTCTCGTGTATGCGACGGTCGCAGCTCGTGCAGAACTCGTGTTCGCAGTCGAGGCAGCTCTGGTAGAGAGACCAGGCATAGGGTCCTTGGTTGCAGCCACACTGACCAGACGTGTATGTCAGCTTCTTTCCTCTGCCTTGACACAGAAAATGCCGATGGTGAGCAGTGAAACGGAATGGAGAGGGGAGGCGAAGGGGGGAAAGAGGGTACGTGAAAGGGCGACGGTAGCCGGATTTCGACTTACGCAGAAGAACAGAAGCTGCCCCTGCTTGCTCTTGCCCCGCGGTCGAGACGCCCTCTCATCAGTGTGAGCACGAGCATGGCCATCATCGTCGCCACCGTTACTCTCCATCTCCTTGTGCGATCTTTTTCTCCCGGCGACAGCTGTCGAGCCACCATCACTCCCATCGCCACCTTTGTCCTTCGGTACTGCCAGAATCAGGACGTCTGCGTCCGAAATCTCCGCCGCCTTCCTCAATAAGCCCGGCCTCCCGAATTCGCCTTCTTTGTTGTCCTGCCCATCACCTTTCCCATCCACGACGTTGTGCCGGTCCGTCGCTCTCTCGAGGCTACCCTTGCGTTTGTTGGTGTCGATGTCCAGCCAATCGCGGATGTGCTTGTCTTCCTTGTCAAAGTGGTGGCTGATGTGGTTGTAGCGCTCGCTCCAGGCCGCTTGGCCACGCTCATTGAGCTCGAGTACACGCTCGCAGAAGCCGCACCAGAAGCGCGATTGGTTGTTGCGACCGATGCGCCGGATGCAGAGCTCTGTAGAGATCTGGTCCTTTGGGAAGGAGTGCTGAGAGCGGAGATGGATGGAGAAAGCGTTGCTGTCGTAGAAGAGGTGGCCGCAAACTTTTGCCTGGACGTTCGAAGAGACAGAGGAGTCGTCATCAATCAGTGACGGAGGAGAGGAGCACGTGCTTCTTTCATCACATGGCGGCTGTTCGCACCGCCACGTCTCGAGTTGCCAGTGTTGGCCATCTTCGTGTCGCCTCCAGTCGTTTTTACTGCCGAACTCTTTGTAGCACTTGGAGAAGGTGCACCCGTAGGGTTTACTATGGCGTTTCAGGTGTTTTCTGTTGCAGTTTCCTGTCAGCAATCGGCGAAGTGAACGGGTCATGGCTTTGTCGGGAGGAAGAGTTACCTCAGGTCGCATCTACGCGCACACACTCTTGGGCACTCGGTGCATTTGACGCCCTGCGGCTTGCCCGTTTTGCCAATTGGAGCAACATCCCGTCTCTGTGCGAAGCTCTTAGAGAGTGCTGCCAGAGCTGTCTTGACTTCGGCTGTGGACATGGTAATCTCTGTTCTACCTGGTTCCCGGAAGCCTGGGGGCGATTTGTCGGCACCTCTCGAAGTTTTGGCTTCTTTCGCTGCCGAGCCTTTCCGGTTGCTGGTGGTGGTAATAATGTGCTTGTTCTGATCCAATTCCAGCAGCGCTCTTAGCACAGCCTTGTTCAACGATTCGTTGGCATTGCCATTGGCGATGCTCGACGCAATGATGTTAGAGAATTTGCTGTACAGCCGTTTCTGTCCATCTTCAATGGCGGATGTACGTTTAGACGACTGAGCTTTGGACCCTGTGGCCTGTGAATCGTCCTTGGAGTCTAGCTGGTTAGCGGCTTGGGAGGCGGCTGTTGCAGCCACAGCTAGTTGCCTCAACCTGGACGCATCCGACTGTGAGTTCTGTGCAAGCTGCTGGTCTCCCGACATCCGAAGAGGCTGAGGGTAGTCATCTTGATATTGACGGAAATTTGCTTCTTCCCACTGGCGCGGCCTTGAATATTCATGGGAAGATGAGAGGTTCAAATCCGAGACAAGAGCATTGGAGCTATCGTCGCCCAGACCCTGGCTCACCACTGGAGCTGGGGAGTCTTTGGACTTCGAGCCTATCCCGGCCAGAGCGTTATCCATTGGTGACGCGGATCTAGTGCCTGAAGGGCCCGGATCAGAAGTGTCGGTATCTCCAAAGAATTGAGAACTATTTCCCATTAGTGTGGTGGAGCAGCTACTCGACGTTTCGAAGGTGTACCGTTGAATTATATCAGCCATATCTGCCGCTGAACCATGGTGCATTCTTTCTACATGTTGTTTGAAATTATCCAGCCGCGGCCAAATCTTGTCCTTGTTCTTACATCGATCGGCAGCGCATCGAAAGGATTTGGTCTTGCCGGCCGCATTGTGGACGCTCTTCTTGTGCCTGTCGAGATCATTGGACGTGGCAAAACCCTCTTTGCGGGGACAATTCGGCTCGTTGCAGACGTGGGGTTTCGTGTGCTTGAGTTCATGTTTCCTGCATGATGGGTGGTGAGCAGCGAGGAAACCAAGTGCGGAAGGGCTGTACGCACTTGAAGTCGGACCGACACTTTGCGACATTTCCACAACGGGGACACTGCAGCTGTTTCTGGGAAGCGGTCGGCTGGGAGGCCGAGCTCAGGTCTGCGCAGTCGGCGTTGCGGGTCTGGAAAGACGTGGTATCATACGAGGGGGGGCTGTGGGCAGCGGCTGTGAATGAGAAGCTGTTTACTTGCACGGGCAAATCGCCACACTCTCTGCTGTAGTCGGTCGGCTCTGTGTTTGCGTTGACGACGGACTGAGAGGCAGCGGCTTGAGAGGCGTACCCCGAATCTGATATCTCGGATGCTGGCGCATGCCGGTAGCTGTTGTAGTCCAGGTTGGGCCCGGGCACGGCCAGGGCGACGTTGGCGCTGGCGGCCGAGGACCGGGCCTGGTTGGTGGCGCGGACGCTATTCCACGGGCCGTCGGCATCATGGTAGAAGTTGGCGATGGGATTGGAGTAGGCCACGCTGTCGCGCGGGGAGGCGTAAGGCCTGTGGCCGCTTAGCAGGGCGTGGAGGCCTTGGTCAATGGAGGTGCCATGGAACGAGCCTTCGTAGCCGGGGTAGGTGTAGGAGGTGTCGAAGGGGCGCGGCATGGGATGGCGGGCGCCATGGTCGCCGTTCAGGATTGCCTGCATGCCGGGCTCCATCTGCTTGGCGGCGGCGGGCGGCGGGCCGGGGCGGGCGTCAAAGACGCGAGGTGGAGCATTGATGGGCCCATTGAAGTACTGCCAGCCGTCAATGCAGGCGCGCAGGAGAAGCAGGCGGGAGGACGCTACGTACGGCTGGGCCGGCTTCGTAGGTGGTGTAGGCCGGGTACCTGTTCTGCGCCATGGCTCGCAAGTGACTTCGCAAGTGCGGCCAGCACTGACGGATTCCCTGGGCAGGGCTGCGCGAGAGTCGCCACCGGCGGGGCTGCTTGGAGACGAGCTCGCATTCAACAAAGGGCGACGGGCGTGAATCGGGAATCAGGAAGCAGGAATCAGCCTTGGCCTCGGGGCCGTGGATTGTGCGGGGAGCAATGGTTGCGGCGCAGACGAGCCGCTGGGCGCATTAGTACTGTCCGCCGCCCTCACCGCCGGGGCCTTGCGGGCTTAGGCAAGCATGCAGGAGAGCGGGCGTGGGTCGGGCGGGAGGCCGGTGTGACGAAAGGGCGCGGGCGTGGGCGCGGGCGTGGACGTGGGCGGGCAGGACGCGGCTGTGCGAGTTGGGAGTGCAGCAGTGCAGCTGCAGCAGAAGAAAAAAGCAACGGCGCACCCCAGCCGGGAAGGAGACACACGCATGCATGCTGCTGCTGCTGCTGCGGCTGCTGCTGCTGCCGTGGCTGCCGGGGCTGGGCTGCGGGCAGCGGGTGACGGGTGCAGCCAGCCTTGCTGCCTGCTGCCTGCCACAGCTCGCCCGCCCACTCGCTGTGTCGCACCTCATCGCTCCTCGACCCGTCATCTGATGCCCCAGCCCGCCGCCGCCGCCGTCCGCCGCCAGCGCCCCACTCGCCATGGGCACCGAGTCGTGCCGCCCGCCGTACCTGCAGCGAAGCCTTGACCTTGGGGGCCAAAACCTCCAGTGTGGGGGCCGGATGACTTGCCACATCCGGGCCCGCCCTTCACCCTCCGCGCCTCACCGCGAGGAATGCCTGCCCGCTCACAGCACCGCCATCCCTGGCCAGCTGCACAATGGGAAAACACAACAAACTAGATTCCTATTCGTTTTGTCAACCACCCTCGTCTGCTGTACACCGCGGCCGTTAGAAAGGAATCGTAGCTACACAACCCAACGTCATGAGCCCTGGGGATATCGTAAAACCAGCCAAACAGAACACCCTCGCTCAACCCGCCCCGTCTGGAGAACAGCAAAGAAAGAAACCCCTACTCAAGGAAAGCTATGATATCAGTATTCGTAGTCACGATACCCCTGTTGTTGTTGTTGTTGTTGTTGTTGTTGTTGTTGTCTGGGATATGATGAGGGCAGTTGCTGGTAAGGGAGCGGTCCCCCGCCGTTCACTTGCTCGCTCCGCACCTGTCCCGCCATCGGCATGCCGCCCGCCAAGTCTGATCCCATCGGCCTGTTGAAAGCATACAGATTCGTCGGCAAGTCGCTGCTGAACGGCCCAGCTTCCACCGGCGAGTGGAAGACTTGCCCGCCCTGTGCGAAGTCTGTGATTGGCGTGATGGCCGGGGGGTAGCCGTTGGACGCGTACTGGTTGGGGTTGAGTCGCATGCCGCTCGCTCCAGCCGGTAGCGGGTACGACCGCACCGCGAAGCTCGATGCACCATCGCCGCCGTACGACACGGCTGCCTGAGCCTGTTGCTGGGCCTGAGCTCCATAGTGCTGGAACTGTGGGGGCGGGTATGTGTGCATGACGTTCGACGTCGCCGGTCCGGATGCGTCTTGGTTGTAGCTCGAGTAACTCGAGTTGGCGCTGAGGTTCTGGCTGTGTTTCGAGTTGTTGTCCGACCATGCCGGAGCAGCCGACGAAGACGCCCTTTGCCGATGCACGTGTGGCCTCTCCACAGGGCTGATGATGCTGTCCGCAGAAAGCTGATTCTTCTCCACCAACGGAAGGATCGGCAGGCTGATCTGCTCAAGGTGCTTTGCCAGATGGACCGTGAGTTTCTTCGAACTGGGGCAAATGTTGCCGCAGAACCGGCATGACTCCTGTTCTGGTTGCCACGGTGTATCCTGTCGGCAAACTTCCACCAAAGACCAAATCTTGTCTGAGATGTCACCGGGCCCTCCGAAGACATCTTCTCCAGCCTTCCATGCACGCAAGTCAATCTGGACATTGCTCGGTACATTCGCTGCGCGGCCAACCCTGGCTTTCGGTTCCGGTACTTTGTGCTCACGTACAAGATGCTGCACGAAGTTGTCCTTGCGGTAGCACACATGCCCGCAGCCTTGCCTTTCGCAGATCCATCTTTTCAGCTGCCGGTGCCTTTCGTCCTCATGTCTGACCCAATCGGCCTTCCGCTTGAACGACATGGGCTCGCCACAGTTCGGAAATGTGCACGTAAACGGCTGAAGATCTTCATACACATGTTTGGTCCAATCCGAGGGCTTGAAAAACTTCTTGACCTTGAAACAAAGCGGGCATTCGAACTCGGCCGGCATACGTCTGACAGGAGGGACGGGAAACCCAGCGGGGAGCGTCTTGGGTATGATAGTGCCTTCCTCAGATGTGTCAAGGTCATCGTCAGACGAAACAACAATCTGGAAGCCAGCAAAAGGTGCTTCGCCATCCTTCTTGTTCGGAGGGGGAGAAAGGATCTTGGGCTGACCCCCCAGAGGAGCACAGAAGCCACTCGACACGCAGTTCTTCGCTCTCACTGCTTTCAGATGCTTGACCTTGAGATCGAGCAGTTTCTTGTATCGCCGGTGCTGCTCTTGGGCTATCCGCTCGATCATGTACTCGTCGACTCGTGGATTGAGCAACCGTGCGTGTGAACGGAATCCTTCGATTGTGGGTATGATGGGATCTGACCGGACCTTTAGATCCATCGTGACTCCACTGACATCGTCAAAATCGCCATCATCCTCATCGCCACTTCCATCCGCACCACGGGGCCTAGGCTTGGAAGCATCGGTAGTGTTTGCTGGTGTCACCAAGGACAGGGTCGGTGGACCACCGTGCGTGCGCATGAGCTCTGACAGGCCTGGAGTTTTACTGCCAATATCACTCCGGCTCCTACTTCTGCGGATTCGGTTCTTTGCATATGCAAACGGTGCAAGGCTTCCGTGATCTTTAAAGAGGGCGGTGGGACTACCATCGGCCTTAGGGGACTTCGACCGTCCCCAACTGCTCGTGCGCTCGGGTGGGACATTGACTGAGGTCTCAAGCGAAAGCGCAGGGGGCGAAGGAGCAGCTGTGCTTTGCTGCGGGGAATGGCTCGGATGGCTACCTTTGCGTTTGAGGATATTACTGGGGTGGCGCTTCAAATTGTTCAGCAGACTTCCTGTCCTCGTTCGTGTCTTTTCCTTGGGCTTGTTCGCTTCGGCAGCCGGGCCGACAATCTTCGAAATCCCGGCAGCATGACGCACACTTCCGATCTCGGATTCGCTCCTACGACGTTGCGAGCCAACCGTCACTGCTAATGAGGCTGTCTCGAGGTCTCTAGCGCGCTGATGAAATTTCATCATGGCGGCGTTGGACGTATCTGGTTGATATTTCACTTCAGACGGTTCCGAAGGCCGTGGAGCATCATGCCATGGACGAACGTGAGGCGGGAGGTTCTCATCTTCCGTTGGATGCGGCATCCTCGGGAAGTAGGAGCTCTGGTCTTTGTCATCTTCGACGTTGACTTGAGCTGGTGGGGAATCCGGGCTACCGCTGGTGCTATCTCCCTCAGAAAACCCAAGATCTTCATCTTCCGATTCGATGTTGAGATGCAGGCCTGGTCCTGGAACAATGAATGGAGGAAATTGGACGCCTAGCCCTTGCCGAGGTCGAGATAAAATGTCGTTTGTGCTGCGTGCCCTTCGGCGTCCGACGGCTGACTGCTTCTTACGGCGCGGTCGGCTCTCGGGCCCACCGGCTTCGCTGCCCACTTCACTCTTGGTGAGCCAATCAGCCACGTCGTGGTTTTTCTCTTCCATCAGACGTTGGTCTTCCTGTTCTTTCAGAGTAGGGACATGCTGATCCTGCATGTCCTTCCGCTCCTCAGGGTGTACTCCAGCCTGTCCAGAGCTGGCATTGGGAATCCACGAGCCATCGTCGCCACGCAACGGTGCTGGTATCTGCACCGTCCGTATGGGAACATCTCGTACAAACGACCGGCCAGACTCGTCGTCGTCCGACTCTTCCAGGTCACGCGGGGATAGATGGTTGCCGGATCGCTTGTTACTGAGACTACGGGCAACGTCTGGGCGAGCCGGTGATTCGTCTATGCTAAAATTCTCGATTCGGACAACAGGGCTTGGGAAGTTCGTCGAGCGGTCCTGAGGTACATCAAGAAAGCCGCCACCTGGGCTTGCCGTTAGCGCCGGGCTTTGTTGCTGCTGTGGTATCGGCATGCCGTGCGAATGGTCCTCCATACCAGGCGTCAACGATCTTGCAGCGGGATTACCGTTATTGCCTGATGCTGAGACAAGAGACGGATTCGGCAAGCACTCGTTGCTAGAGCCTGGACTCGAATGGGTCGTCAGACACGGGGACACCAAGTGCGTAGTTCCACCGTAGCTTGCGGAGAAAGTAGGAGCCAAAAGGCTGTTGTTGGAAGCGTTGATGCTGCTGGGCCCGGATGAGTTTTGGGATGCCACGGAGCTGTCGTGGAAGCCGGCGTTGAGAGTGTTCATGGCGCCAACAGAAAGGAATCCCATGTTCACCTGGGCCTCAAGAAGCTCGTCGTCGAGGCCCGGAGTGGTGTACTGGCTGATGTCGGTATAGACCGGATCCGAGAGAAAGGTCTCGGGCGTGGCATGCTCGTGATAGGACGAGATGGAAGGAGACATGTTGTTAGCGGAGGTGGGGAAGGAGAGTTGTGCCATTTGGGTATCCTGATACATGTTGCTTGGCTTTGGGGGTTGCGTTTGAGAAAAGTCGGGGGGCTGCAGGCTCATGGAGGTGTCATGACAGGGCATGGACGGGAGGGCGGCCATGTCTTCTGCATGCGAGTGCTGCGAGGTGCGGCTATGGGAGCTTCTGCTGCGCGAGTGGCTGGGGCGGTAGAGCGGGTTGCGACAGGGCTCCGCAGACGCAGAGGCCGAGTAAAAGTCGTTCATGATGTCGGCGTGGGTGTGGGCATTCTTGTCGTTGTCGGAGGGTACGGGCATCACTGGGCCCACCAGGGACATGGCAGATTTAGCATCTAGCCGCCGGCTGCAGAAGCGCGCGGGACCAATGCAGGTATCGAGTCGAGTCGACAGAGAGCGCGACGATCTGCACGAGCAGTGGGTGCGGTGGCGGGGCAGGTGCCGAGAGGGGACCGTCGGCAGTGGCGCGCAACCAGGAGCTGCAAGGAGGATGCGCGGGGAGCAGAGAGCGGCAGGCGGCAGGCGGCAGGCGGAGTTCAAATGTCGAAGCGACCGAGGGGAAGATGGTATCGCCTGCGGGCGCTTGCTGTAGGGCAGGCGATTGGCGAACTGGCTGGAGGATAGGAAGCCGCGGCTCAGTCAGGCACAGGCGCGCTGGGCAAGGATGGCGGCTGCTTTTCTACTGTGTAGAAAGCTGGAGCACAGCAAGCCGGCTGACGGCATGTCTTGACGGTGACACAGGCAGTGGGCTAGGTCCCTGTTAACTCCCGCAGCGAGCAGACCGGCCGAGTGTCACAGCACGGGCGCAGCAGCGACACGCGAGGCTGACGCGAGGCGGCGTCGAGCAGCTGGAGCGCTGGAGCGCTGCAACGAGAGCCAAGACACCGCGCTGCGGGAGCCTGCCCAGTGCCTGCGGATCCATCAGGCGCCATCGCCCTTGACAAGCACTCACGCGAAGAGCGTGGGCCGGCCCATGTCTGCGAGGCAGACAACAGCCGGCTCAGCCACCGCACTGCGCTGCGGGCGCGAGATGATGAAACCCCTCCAGAATTCAAAGCCACGCCTAGCGCAGACTGTGTGCCTAATGAGGCTCTCCAATTGCCGCTGCCCGGTGGAGCCGGCAACCGCAGCCGGAACCGGTTTGGCGATCCTCGACAGCACCACGGCGCCTGCGACTCGCCGCGCGCAAGCTTGCCCTCTGGGTTATCTGTTGCGGGCGGTGCACCGAGCCCAGCCTGGCCAGCCTCGCTGCGCCCTCCATCGTGCCTGCTGCCACCGCGCTCTCAACCTCGCTCCCGCTCTGAGAGCGGCCATCAGCAACGCAGCCGGGCAAGCCTACGCGATCGGTTGAAGCACAACTCCCGGCGATGTGCACTGTTGTCCCGTTCAGCGTTTCAACCCAGACACATATAACGTTGCAGTGTTATGCCTGGGCGTTGTAGAAGCAGAGCATTTACCGATCGTGGACTCGTGTGGACCTGCGGAGTTTGGGATTCCAGCAAGTCTACGCGTGTGAATGCTTGGGGTTCTTGTGCGGCGTCGCAGCTCGCAGGCCAAGCATTCCGTGCAGATATAAATGGACGACGCCCAGAGCCCGGAGATGCCGTCGGGGCCACTTCGCATTACCTGCCTAAGGCATTCGCGCAGAGCGAAGTCGCATCCTCTCCGCCGAGGCTTTCACCCTAGGTAGGTAGGTGGCACACCAGATGCGGCCCGCCCGTTGCGCGAATGATACGGCCCGTAATGCTCCGCTGGCCGGATTTGTTGAGCAGACGGGTGCGAAAGTCTGCGTGAGGTCTTCTGATCGGTCTCAATCTCCCCCAAAAGGCGGTAGCTCGCCCCAACTGCTGAACGGAGATGGTGTGCAGGAGTGGTGCTCGAGCATCGCCCTTCACGCTTGCGGAGTAGGTGCATGCACGACAAGTGGAGCAACGCAGGGGACAGCGGGGCGCGGCGCGAGATACGCGCTCACTGGCATACTGGCATGACCGGGGAGTGCGATACTGCTCTCAGAAGCTTGTACAATGCTTGACGGCCTCGCCATGCGCCTGCTGCACGTCACTTCCGTAGGACATGCCGCGGCCGCCATGACGATGAAGAAGGCCTCCGACCAGAAATCCCCGGCGTGCGATTCGCGGAGCTCGTCTCCGCAAAGGACGGGCGGACCCTGGCGGGGCACTTCACGATTGGAGCGCGCAGGGATGCCTCGGACGCGTCCGGCAAATCGGCGGCAGGCGTCATCATCGGGGTCGCTGCATGCCTGGTCCAGCGCGGACGAAGGGATCTAGAGGGGTCGAGATGCTACCAAACAACACCTGTGACTTTTGCCCGTTGCCCAACGGCTCGAGCGTTGGTCCCTAGCTTTTATTCTTATTCGCACCCTCCGCTCCTCTCGCCCCCATACCCGTCTCAATTGTCCGTCCTTCAGCAAAAACTGCAGATCCATCCAGCTGTCCATCTGCATGTGACTGCTGCGTCTCATCCACTACTACTGTTTCACGCGGACAACCCACGACACTTGCTGCTAGCTCCCGCCGCCTTCCTCAAATCCTCCGTTTCCAGCAGCCTTCATCCTGCGAGGAACGGTACCGCCACAGCCACGAGAATGGTCCAGTTTATCCCGGCCCCAGAGCCCCGAACTCTACTTCCTCCGCTCCTTGCTTGCCTACCGACCGCCTTCGCGTCCCCGCAACCCCCTCCAGCTCTGCTCCCTATTCTATCGCCGATCCTGCGCCAGCGCGTCCAACTTCTCTCCGTCACAAACGGCCCGAACGAGTCATGGCTACCCCTCCTCTCGTGGGACAAAGAGCGCGCCAGCAAGCTCCCGCAGATCGTCGAGAATCTTGAGATCGAGCCACACCCGTCCTCCGGCGAAATCGAGTTCGATGACGTGAAGGGTGTCCGATACAGGCGGAGAGACGAGGAGACGTTGGAGGCCAGACTGGAGCTGGACGAGTTCAAGCTTCTGCCGATATTCCTCTGGTGCATGACCGATGAGGCCAGCGGCGGCCCTGGTTGGCGACTCAGCGAGCTTCGTGCTCTCGAGGACATGAACGATGGCTCCGAGTGGTTTGACAGCATGGACGAAGCCAACGAGGGCTCCAAGGTCGCATACATTCGGGATGCTCTCCGCCAAGACACGCTCAGTCCCAACGCTCGCAGCGTGCCCAATCACCAGCACCACAGCAATCATGAAGAGCAGGAGGAGGAGGACGACGACTACTGGAACTCATACGATCGATCCCCGGGCAGAACGCCTGCCAGAACGCCTGCCAAGCGCTCTCCTGCGCCCGGCTCGAATGTGCAGGTGCCGTCAGCGTCGGAACTCGAGTATTTTGCCCGCTATGCCATGGAAGTGCAGCCTGCGTTGGATGCACACGACCCGGAGGAGGAAGTTGACGAGTCTATCGAGTCGACCCTCAATGGGAACACCCTTGTTACTGAACGCCAGCCTCAAGTCGAACCTTTGGAGTCCACTAACCTTGGTCCGGGAGGGTACGACTCGTCATTGCCGCCCCCACAACAAAACGGCCAGGATACAAACAACGACATTAACCACCCACGTCCCGACTCAGCCGCTTCTTCGTTGTCGGGCTCCATCGAACGGATGGAGCAGGCAGCGGAAGCTTCCTCTCAAGCCGAAGTTGCCATCAAACAGCACATCAGCACCGATATCAAGAGTTTGTACAGACTGGCCCGGTCGGCCGGGATTCAACGCGAAGAGTTTGAACGGGTCGTCAAAACCGAATTGGAGATGCTCAGCATGATGGAGCTTGATGAGTGAAGTACGTATTAGATGACAGTCGAGGCATAAAATGTAATCACACTGCAGCATAGGCGCACGGTCTTGGCGCGGGGATTGTTTGTTTTCTCTCGAATCTTTTTTACTCATAGCTGTGAAGCCAGCATGCCTGTCTGTAGATACCAATTAGGTCTTGGGTAGCAATGCACAATACGATGCCTCTTTTTCCCTGATTCTCAGCTCGTGCTCGTTTGTGGCGGCTCTCCGCACACATGCGTCCCGACCCATCCGTGACACGCCCATGAACAGATAAGAGGAGAGGAAAAAGCAATGCAGGCAATCCATGCCCGCGTCCGCAACTCGTAACGCCTTCACGTTCCTCCAGATCCTTCTTCAGCCCCTCCTCCTCGCGTTGGCGCCGGCCGCCTTCAGCTGGCTGAGCACATCCTGCACGTTGCCGCCGTCCACGCGCATCTCGTTGGCGCCGGAACCCCGACCAATCTCCTCGACCACGTTGTTTGGATCCGCTGCCCCGACGATCGGGATCTCGGACGCGATGAACTGCTGGAAAGGCTTGGTGGCGAAGTAGCCGTCGGTCGTGAACCAGTTCGTGAAGGGGGCTTGGAGGTGGATCTCCTGCCAGAGGTTGTTCTTGGCATTCTTCTTATCCCCCGAAGCGAAGCGAACGGTCAAGTGGTAGATTGGCATGTTCTTCTCGACTCGCGAAGCAATCTCCAGCTGCGGGTCGTCAGTTCCCTCGTCCAATGGCGCCCCTTTGGTATTTGTGGGCTGCATACCTTCATGCCATCCTTCTCGCCCGAGTACACCATGCCCTTCTCCACAAAGTACATCCAGTACATGAAAGCGCTATTCAAAGCGAAGTATGCCAGCACAGCCGGGCCTGTGTATGCCTTTGTTGCGTCCCAGCCGAACTTGTAGTCGAAGTAGAAGAGAGCGCCGGCGATGATGACAGCCGTGTAGCCGAGAGCGAGGCGCACATCAGTGAACCGGTGGGATTGGCGGAACTTCAGGGAGTTCAGGTAATTGGGCAGTGCATCGTCCGTGGTGTTCTTGAGGTCTGCACGCACAGCGTCAGCGTTCGCGTTGGAGTAGCTTTCAACAGAGGTGCGCGGTACCGGGGACGGAATAAACTGCGATCTTCTGCTGGTCCGGCATGTCTGCAATTCTCGATGGCTAGTCCAAGTAGTGGGCGATCCCGGTGCAGGGCTCTGGGTGCGCAATAACATATATGACAGTTCGTTGTCGCGGCCGGCGGAGTTGCGGTTGAAGCACACGGTGGTCTCTTGGAGCTTCCGCCGGCGGATCCCTGTCCGAGCGTTTGACAGCCGCGCCCGCGCCTTGATCCACTTCACGACGCCGCCTTCCTCCATCGCAGACCAACTTTGAGCTCTGCAGCACGAAACGCACGACCGGCTCAACGTCCCGATAGCTCGGCATCATGGCGCAGCCGCTGGCGCAGACGATCCATCGGGATCCCTCCCTGTTGTACGTCCGCGAGCGCCGGTCCAGGTCGTCGCCTGGAAGCTAACAGTCGATGCAGCTGGTGGATCCTGTTGCCAATCACGGTGGTCATGGTATGCTCCTCTCTGCGGAACATGAGGATTGCGCGTGCATTGCTGACCTCACCAGGTCCTCACGGGCGTCCTCCGACACTACGCGATGGTTTTGCTGCAAACAACCCCCAAGAAGCAGGCCCTTCCGAAGCTGCGCGAGCACCGGTCGCTCATGCGCGGCGTCAACCTACGCTCCAACAGCAACGTCCTGTCTCCGTCATCGTTCCAGAGCCGCAAGAGCTACCTCGTTTCTGCGTTTAAGGACGGTGCCTTCCTCGCCGATCCTGAGGCCAGAGGAAAGCCCAGACCCAACCCAATGAGCGACCCCGCAGCGATGGAGGGCATGATGGGCGCAATGAAGGGCAATGTGGCCATGATGGTTCCGCAGACACTGATCATGGGATGGATCAATGCTTTCTTTTCTGGATTCGTCATCTGTAAGTGGCTGCCTGGGCTTCCGGCCGGTAAAGCAGTTGGACAGTGGGGCAGGTATACACGAGGAATGGGAAAAACCGCCCTGGCAGGGTTGTCAAGTGGTGTTGCAGCTTGCCACGCCGGGCGAATGGCCCCATTACCCGCGTGTAATGTCCAGCTGTTGCAACATTATACAAAGCTGCCCCCAACATGGGCTGCGTGGCGGGGCGACGTTCTCGGCTGACCTGGTTACAGTGAAGCTCCCCTTCCCGTTGACGCCGCAGTTCAAGTCAATGCTCCAGTCGGGCGTGGGCACACGCGACCTTGACGTGCAATGGGTATCCAGCTTGTCGTGGTACTTCCTGACCCTCTTTGGCCTGCAGCCCGTCTACACGTTCATCCTGGGAAGCAACAACGGTACGTCATGGCGCCGTGTCTCTGGTTGAGCGGAAGCTAACAGCAAACGCCCCGCAGCTGCAAGCCAGGTGACGCAGCAGATGGGACAGATGAACCCTGCGGGGATGATGGGCCCAGACCAAGACCCGGACAAGCTGTTTCAAAGCGAGGCGGAGAACCTCGAGGTGGTGGACCACTATTGGATCCTCGAGGGCGTCGAGGAACGGCTGCTGGCGAAGTTGACCTGACGATCGTAGCAGCGGTCGCCATTGGCCGGCTGCAGGTCAGCCACGCAAATGCGACGGGGCGGAGCAGCAAACCGCACGCAACGGCTCCCGCGCACAGTGCCTTGGCTGACCGGTGGTTCCCGCACACGCATGCATGCCAAGACAGCATGCGGGATGATCGAGGACCAGCCGGCCTGGGGCGGACAAGGCACACTCGAGCGAGCGGGCCAGCACTACTCAGCAGAGCCTCCTTTGTCTAACGATAGCTAGCCGTCGGTATGGATAATGAAAAATGTGCATCGCCCCACTGGGCTTGTCGGGGCCGCTCAGTGCATGTGCTGGTGCAGCGTCGGCCAATGGATAAGAGCCAGCGCCGCAGCTGGGGGCCAACAACCGAAGGTGCTCCAGGCATCAGCCGCGCCCAAGACATGACGGCAGCCAATTCACCCCAGGGCGGTGGTGCACCGCTTGCTGCCTGCTCGCGGCTCTGTTTGCCTCGTTTCCGCTCGATCTCCTCCTCTCCGGGCGCCGCGCCGCCCCAGCAGCCAGCGCGTCTGCCCACGCCGCCGTCGCCGCCGCCGCCCGCTATCGCGACGGGCGCCCGGATTCGATCATGTTTGCTTTTGCGACGGCAGGCGTGCGGGCGTGCAGCGAACCCGTGGGGGTTGGATCGCTCTGAGCAGGGCAGCTCGGCGCGTTTGGCACTCGCATCTCGTTCGTCCGCCGGCGCGCCCTCTACGCCCTTCTGGCCCCCGACCCCTTCCAAGGCACGAATGGGCGCACCCGCAGTCCCGCGCGCGTCCTTCGCAGCAGGCTCAGCCGCACAGCTCCGCCGGCCTCTCGCTCGCGGGCGCGCTAGGCGCTCCAGCAATGCGCTGGTCAGCCATCAGCGCCTCCCCGGACGGCATGGATCACCTCACAGATGCATGCGCGGCGCTGGTTCCCCATTCTCTCCCGCCCCATTTGCCCTTGTCCCAAGAGTCTTCACGCACCAGCGCCCGATCAGTAGCCCATGTCGGGATCTGCAGTCCGTCGTGGTGGGACAGAAGGACTCTGCCACACTGGCCTGCCCCAAACCAAGTTGAGCGCTGCACACACGGACCGGTCAGCATGCAGGGGTCGCGTGTCGATGGCTTGCTCCTTGCGGCACACTGCCAGCCGATGCTGGCGCTCGTGCAACTGGTGGAGGGTGCGTCGATGCGGCTCTGCGAGACGTACCCGTGGGGCCTCCGCCATAAGAGCGCGATCCAAGGAGTTGTTGCCATGCAGGACGTTGATACACAATCACGACTTTCAGGGCGGAGCACACGATTTACAGCCCTTCCATTCTTAGCCACAGACCTATCACTTTCCTGACGCTATATCCTGCTCCGCCTCCTTCACCCTTCTGCATTCCGCCGTCTTGAGCAACCAACACTGCTGTATAAGAATCGCCGAGCTGTGCTTCAATCAAGGCTCCCCGAGCTAAGCACTAACGGTACGCTCCCGACATAACGCTTTGACCAAAAACTCCTCTCTTATTGCTCCTACGCAGATTGACTTGATGTCACCTCGTCACTGAGCCTCCCCTAAACCAACATACGTTTGCCGTACATTGCCTTCACTGCTGTACAAAACTCATTCTACTTTTACACACACACGCATACACACACACAATGGACCACCATTTTTCAGCATTCAACGACATCCCCGACATCCAGCTCAATGCGACGGGCCACCTTCAGGATGGATACCGATGGTCTGATGGGGATGTTCCCTGGACTGGCGTACGCCACAATCAAAGAGCAATCACCTTTTTTGGCTCAGAGTTGGCCTTGGACTCGACGCCGGCGTACGCCATGTCAAACATGCAACGTTACTTGAGCGGACATGAGCGCCCCCTCTTCGAGACGAACACTTTCCAACTCGGCAACACGACCGATCGTGAGCACCATCACTTCGACCTTGAGCCCTGTTTCGAAGCACAGCAGCCCCTGCCGTACACTGGAAGGGGTATCAGGCAGAGATCCCCGGATAACTTCCGCTCTAGCTGGTCTGTGTCCTCGGGGGGCAGCAGCTACAACGTCTCGCATAAAGACGACCTCAGCATCAACAGCTTCGGCTCCCCCGATCGCGGAAGTAGTCCGGCATACGGCATCCAAGACACAACCTACAGCGAGTTCAAAACCTATCCACTTTACTCCATGGACGAAGCGACCCTCGGTGCTGGCGGCTCCTGCACCCTCTCGGACATCCAACCATACCCTTCTCCTTGCGAGGAGACCGAGGCCCTTGTGGAGTATGACGAATGTCATGACATGAAGATGGGGTTTGCCTGTGAACAAGAGACGATCTTGTTCAATGGCAAGATGACGACGGATGATCATCATTGCACTCGTCTGAGCGATGAGGACGCCATCCGTGTCCGCGACGCTGAGTCAGTGAAGCCAGTCGTCAAGAGCGAAGATGAAGCCGATTCCGACTGGAAGCCTCGCAACAAGCAGCGTCGTCGCCGAACATCTCGTTCGAGCATCAGCTCTCAAGGCACGACTCGGCGCAGTAGTAATGCAAGCAAGACGTCGTACAGCGCTGGCAGCGGGCGGGGTCGCGTCGCCAAGTGCTCGAAGTCCCGCAACTCGAAGTCGAACTCCTCCAAGAATAACAACCCGGTGAACCGCCCCTTCCCCTGCCCTTTCGCAGGATACTCGTGCACTTCCACTTTCGCATCCAAGAACGAATGGAAGCGACACGTTAGCACGCAGCACATCCGCCTCGGCTTCTGGCGCTGTCAGCTATGCCCGAGCACCCTCGACGGTGGCGCTACTACTTCCTACAACGACTTCAACCGCAAGGACTTGTTCGCGCAGCATCTGCGTCGCATGCACATGGCGCCGAGCAGCACAGCCCCAGGCAGCAGGGGTGGTTCCTGCCCCAGCCCACCCTCAAAGGACGCTCCCGTCACGGAAGACAACATGGCCGACTTTCAGATGCAATGCTACCTGAAGCTGCGTGATGCGCCGCCTTGCAGCTCATGTCTCTTCTGCAACCGGTCCTTCGAGGGCCCAGGCAGCTGGGAAGAGCGCATGGAGCACGTTGGTCGCCACTTTGAGAAGGAGGGGGATGGCGGCGATGCGAGCGTGTACGGCGTCGAGCGGTGGCGTGAGGATCTCGTGCTCGAGCAGTGGCTGCGCGAGGAGGGCTTGATCGAGCTGGACGCGAGGGGCACCTGGCAGCTGGGCAACGGCGCCCCAAAGAGGGGCGGACAGCATGCCAACGCCATGAGGAGGATGATCGAGGATAACAGCGAAGAGTCATCCGAGGACGATTAGTGGTGTATTTCGCCTGTCCTGTTCCCCTTCGGTTTGTTGATGAACCCGATGGCGCTCCTGCTTTATTTCGTTGTCTAGGCCGTTTGGATGGCTACCACTGGATTGGACTGGCACTGGCATACAACAAACTGATACCCCCTTCGTTACAAAACATAACACTGTAGTCTTACGCTTCATGATGAATGACGGATACCATTTCTGTAACTCAAATCGTCTTGTTCAGCATCGGGATCAAATGTATATCGCTCTCGGTAACAATCAAAGGCTTCTTCCTGATTCATTCCGTCCATGCCTACCAATGCCCGCTCTGACTTCTGACTCCTGCAGGCAGGTCGATCGACACTGTTCTCCGAGAAAAAGGCTCGCTGACGACTCAGAGTTGCTGGCATAGATTTTGCGCGCATGTAATCCAACATGGTGGGCGTAAATCCTCGCGATGGGGAGCAGGACGTTCTGCCCTCTAGACTTCACAATAGCCGCGGTCCTCTCTGTTTTGGCGGTCGTTGTATTCGTGGCGTCGTATCGCGCGCAACAACAGGCCGAGAGTGGCAACTACTACTGACTGGCACCAGGCGGTTGCGCCACCGGATGGCTCGTGCATCTATCGATATGAATGCTTGCTGATGCTGTCACCTCACATCGAGTAGCAATTCCAAACCACCGCACTCCGTGCACATTCCAATGCTGAAACTACCGCGCCGAAACAACGATACCGACAAACCGCCAGCATGAGCGACCTGGCGAAAACCATCGGCAAGACCAAGCTGGGCAGCAAGCCCCCCAGCAGCAACACCAACAAGATCGCCGAGATCCTGGAAGAGGAACCCGGGCAGCAGCAGCCGATAGAAGACGATTCGTCGTCGGCGTCATCCGTCTCATCCACCGGCACCGTCGTGCCCCCGTCGACGCAGAAGCAGCCCGGCGCCGCTGCCCCGCCCACGGCCGCCTCCGCCGCCAACGTCGACTGGACCCGCTACTTCGCCCAGGAGCTGTTCCTGGAGCACCGCGACGAGGCCACGGGCGAGCACGCGCAGTACCACGTCTACGTGACGCCGCCCGCCACGCCCAAGACGCCGCTGCTCGTGCTGCACCACGGCGCGGGCTCGTCGGCCCTCACGTGGGCGCTCTTCGCGCTCGAGGCGCGGCGGCTGATGCCCGAGGTCGGCGTGCTGGCCGTCGAGGCGCGCGAGCACGGGTCCGTCGTGGTCGGCGGCGACGGCGGCGTCGACGGCAGCATGGCGGTCGCGAAGCTGAGCGCCGACCTGGCGCGCATGATCGCCCTCACGGCGGCCCGGCTGGGCTGGACGCAGCGCATGCCGCAGCTGCTGCTGGTCGGCCACAGCCTGGGCGGCGCCGTCGTCGTCGAGGCGGCCAAGAGCGGCGTGCTGCCGGGGGGCCCCGCCGGCGTCATGGGCTACGCCGTGCTGGACGTGGTCGAGGGCTCGGCCATGGACGCCCTCAAGCACATGCACACGTACCTGTCGACCCGCCCGTCCATCTTCCCCTCGCCCGACGCCGCCATCGACTGGCACATCCGCAGCCGCACGCTGCGCAACCCGGACAGCGCGCGCGCCTCGGTGCCCAGCCTGCTGCGCCGCCTCGAGTCGGGCAAGTGGGTGTGGAAGACGGACCTCGCCCAGACCGAGCCCTACTGGACCAACTGGTTCGAGGGCATGAGCAGCAAGTTCCTCACGGCCAGGGGCGCGAAGCTGCTGCTCCTCGCGGGCACGGATCGCTTGGACAAGGAGCTCATGATAGGGCAGATGCAAGGTCAGCAGCTTATTCATACGGG